GGAGGGGACTAAGGGAGCCGTGTGTGGTGTGTGATTGCTGGTTTGTGTAGTTTTGGTTTTATAGGTGTGTTGTGTGGTTTTAGATACGATTGATTAGACCTGTTTTAATTAGTTATTTTGGGGTTTAGGATTGATTCTAGAGTGAGTCCCTTGTTTAAGTTTTGAGTGAGTTGTAGTGTTGGTCTGTGTGTCTTGTAGTGTGCAGTGTATGAGGTTAGGTGAGGTTAAATTGGGTTTAACGTCGCGTACAAGATAATTGCACTTATATAGCGACGTGCAACATGAATACCCCACTCAGACACAGTATACTGACTCCGAGCCGACCAGTCCTTGTTTTAGCCCCTTAATGCCGAGCGCCAGACAGGGTAACAACAAGTATCATCTTTTAACGTCTTTTGCATGACGCGGTCGGGGATCGAACCCCGGACCTTCCGCTCTCCGGGCGGACGCTCTACCACTAGACCACGGAGGCGGTCTGTGCAGTGTATGAGAGCTTGTTCTGGGGTTTCTTGCTGGGTGCAGTGTGGGCATTTTCCTGTTGCGTGTCGTTTAGCTAATTTTAGTTGAAAGTTTAGTTTGGTATGGCCTGTCTGTAGCTGAGTTATGATTTTATCGGTTTTTTTTGGATGGGTGTAATACTTTTGGTTTAGTTAGGGGCTTTTTTAGAATTTTCCTAATTTGACAATTTGAATTTTGGAAGTTGGTTTCCCATTTTTTTAGATTTTTTGTTTAGTGGTACTTTTGATTTCTGACTTAGAGATTGGAAGATTTAGGCCTATGTCTGGTAGTTTTAGGGATAATTTGGCTGCTTTGTCTGCGTTTTCATTGTCGAAGATTCATACATGAGCGGGTATCCAAAGAAATTCTCTGTTTTTTTCCGGCCTTAGTTAGGTCGTTTGAGCTTTTAAGTATTTGATTTATTAGTTTGGGGCGATTTTTAGTGGTTTTATTTTTGAGAGCCTGGAGACCACTGAGGGAGTCGGTGAGGTTGAGGATTTTTTTAATGGAAATTAGTTTGTGGGTTGTGTAGGGCTGAGGCCAAGCCCATAAATTCGGCCGTTAATATGGATTGGTTGTTTTGGAGTCGGTATGTTTGGGTTTGTTAAGTTGGCTGTGCGATGTGGACGCCGAAACCTGTGTGTTTAGAGATCGAATCTGAAGATCCGCTTGTGTATATGTGGCACCAATTTGGCCATTTCTCGTGTATGTATGTAAGTGTGGTGGTTTGGGCTATGTTGGGGTCTGTTTGTTTGTTTAGTGTGTCTGCTGGTGATGTGTCTATTTTAGGTATTTGAAGTTTAGGGGTGAAGATATTGGATGGTTTTGTGTTTTGTTTGCGATTGTTTAGCTTGTGGTCTTTTAATTAGTTTGTTATTCTTTGTGAGATTGTGGCGAGTAGAGGGTTTTTGCTGGCTAACGCTTAGTTTTTTGGGCTGATGTTCTTTTTTAAGATGTTTTGGATTAGGGGTTTAGATTGGGACGCAGCCAAGAGGTTTAGGTTTAGTTGCTCCCAACGTAATTCTAGCGGGATTTCTCCCGTTAGAGCCTGGAGTGAGGTACCATGTTGAGTTCGGGTGATTAGTTAAAGGGCCTGATGCTGGATGGAGTTTAGTTTTTTATTTAGAGAGTTATTTAATGTGTTGTATATGAAGCTGTCGTAGTCAAATTTTGATCGAATTAGCGAAATGAATAGTGATGGCGGTCATTATGCAATGCCCATCTAAAACACAACCCCGCGCCCACGTCTACTGATCCCTTCAGGCGGTACGGCAATTAGTAGAACCTTCTGTCTCACATTAATCCTCCATGATACAACATACTCTCATTAAGTAAATGCTGCCCTTTCTCAGCATCACAGCTACCGAGCTGAGGCAAAGAGGTGAGGTGAGGTGAAATGGGGTTTAACGTCGCGTCCAAGATTATTGCACTTATATAGCGACGTGCATGTGCGTGTGTGTGTTTGTGTGGCTGCTTGTACTAGTCCGGACTGATGCCAATTTATAGTGCTAGCTCACTGAGATACCATGCCGCAGTTTAACATGAATACCCCACTCAGACACAGTATACTGACTCCGAGCCGACCAGTCCTTGTTTTAGCCCCTTAATGCCGAGCGCCAGACAGGGTAACAACAAGTATCATCTTTTAACGTCTTTTGGTATGACGCGGCCGAGGATCGAACCCCGGGCCTTCCGCTCTCCGGGCGGACGCTCTACCACTAGACCACGGAGGCGGTTCCTGAGACAAAGAGACCCAACCATCATAAAGTACTTAGGGTCCAAAAAAAACAATACTCAAACAAACCTCACCGGAAGTCGTACTACAGTGTAATGTCAATTCACACAAACTTTTAACAGTCTTGAGGGACGCCCTAATCTTGATCGAAATGATCAGAAAGGGTAGAGCCCACTCGTACTTGAAATTGTCTGTTGTTTAAAAATTCAGATATGAACTGAGGTAATCTGCCCTTCAATCAAAATTCATGCAAATCTTTTTAGAAACCATGTTTCACGTTGTATCATATGCCTTCACTAGGTCGAATATGATTGATACAGTATGTTGTTTGTTGACAATGGAATGTTTAATAAATGATTCTAAACGCACCAAATGGTCAATGGTACTTCTGTTTTTTCGGAAACCACACTAGATGTCACTCAGGAGGTCATTGGTCTCCAGGTACCAGACTAACCGATTGTTGACCATGTGCCATGTGGCCATGTGGTTTCACAAACACAGCTTTTTAAATTATATTGGACGGTAATTGGATGGATCTGTATGATCCCGTCCCGGCTTTGGTATAGGAATGATAATGGCATTGTGCCTCGAAGGAGTGAAATTTACGGTTGTCCATACTTCATCAAATATATTAAGCAGCGTTTCGAAACTTGGGTAAGTGTTTCGGGAGCTGATAATGTATGTTAGAGTTAAATATGACTATTTTCGTTTCATGTGCTTTTTGAAACCTCTTAAATGAGGATTATAATTGGATGATGAGAAATGATTTGCCAAAGTTTCACCAAGCTTTTTGGCAATTTCAGATTAAGTTGTTAAAAGTGTATTACCATGGTGAACTCCAGATTTGGATCCTTAGCCCTTATCTTTTGAATCATGTTCCACACCTTGGACATGGGTGTGTGGGAATTGATTTTAGATAATATTTGGTCCTTGATTGACGTATACTAGTATTTTGTTGAAAGGTACGTCTCGGGTTCGCGCCCGTGATTTTTACGTTATTCAAGTTGTGGACAGTGGGATGTCGGCGGAAATACTTTTTGGCTTCTTCCTATTTTTTCTAGCTAGTTTACAATATTTATCGAACCACGGTTACGTATATGAGGGTTTGCGTAGGACTTAGGAATGTTTTCGTCTCCAAAAGCATTTAACTGATCTGAAAAAAGTTGTAAAGGATCAGGAACATTCCTAAAAAAAGTCAGGTTTTAGTTTTTCAGTACATAGTCTTTGTCAAAAAGACCATTTGGCCTTTGTAAAGTTCCACCAAGTTGAAGGTGGTTCGTCAGAGGGATTGATAGTTGTAAGTATTGTTGGAAAAAACCGGTCACTTCAAAAATGGATGCGGGTTAGAAATTTATGATCTTCAGTAACCCATGCCTTTCTTAAGAGGCGACTAACGGGATAGGTTGGTAAGCCTTGATGTTGTGCTTGATGCATTTTCATTGCACCCCAATTGCATCATACTGCTGGCATATTGCTGAGTGTGGCGTGAAACAACAATAACAACAACAAAAATATGAGGATCACACCCAAAATAAAATTACCGACACGACGATTTGTCTCTGCACGAAGCTAGCTGGTAATGTTGGATTAAATAACCCAGAAACTCTTCATGAATACCAGATACACAATGATTTTCTAATGTGACCTCAAAATGCCAAAGTCTCAAATATTTGCTGGAACAGATTCGATTGTGTAAACGTCAAGGCAGCTATGTCAATGTTATGAATGAATGCAAAACGTAAGCTCCAGTGAGAAAAGAGATGTGAAAACATCATGTAAAATTAATAATTAACATCATGGTATAAAGCGTCGAATAATTTTGACAAACGCACTTTGCACTTTACCAATATTTTCGAGAACTAAAATTTACTTTTAGATTGATGTTATGTATATGAATATATGGAATCAGGCTGATCAAAATGGAACCTTCTAATTCAGTGACCCGTGAAGTTTCCGGGGTAGAATAGGTCTTCAACAACCCATGCTTGCCGTAAAAGGTGACTATGCTTGTCGTACAAGGCGACGAACGTGATCGGGTGGTCAGGCTCGCTGACTTGGTTTATGCATGTCATCTATCTCAATTGCGCGGATCGATGATCATGATATTAATCACTGGATCGTCTGGTCCAGACTCGATTAATTACAGACCGCCGTCATATAGCTGGAATATTGCTGAGTTCGGCGATAAACAACAAATCATCAACAACAGCAAAATACTGCGACTGTCGGTTTGTCAGCCCAAAAGATATGTCATTGTCCAGACAATTTCCTATTGGCCTCAGTCGGCTACTCGAAAAAGATTGACATGCGAAATGAATCCCTTGTAATGAATAGAATGTGTCCTCAGCACCCCACTGCTGGTCGTAAGAGGCGACCGAATCTGCATCATGGAACACTTTCTGATGACAATCAGAATCTGATTCACTATTTTGTAGGACATGGTTCAAAACAATTAGTAGTAAGTAGATGTGACTGGTTACTAAGTGAGGTAAACAGAAATATAGTCACTGCAGTGCCTTTATCGTGGGTGATAAACATCTGAAATCTGCATCACTTCGGGCATTCCTCTCACCTAAATCTGACACGTCTTGAGATAAATGGAATACAGTAAAAAGCGACGTTGAACCCAACTTACTCACTCAAGTAGTGCCACCATCAAGGGAAAATATATCTTCATCAAATTATTAATGTGATAAAAATGCTGTAGGTCTACCAAGCAGATGCTACGAATCATAAGAAAGCATAACGTTCCGATTTTCACTTTCAGGAAAAATGATTATCGCCGTGCATCCTACAACGGGGCAGACAAGTACAACGTCTTAAATGAAGACTTAGGTAATGACAAGTCCAATGATGAAGGTGAAGACAAGCACTATCGTCGCGACAACGAAACATTGGTGTACAATCAAAATTCAAACAAGGACAGAGGCCCTGATGAAGATGCAGACATGGATAGCCGACATGACTCCTACACAGGCAAGTATCAACACATAACAGGAGATAGGTGGATCGTCATTACAACGATTGCCTACCCAACATCTGATGTCAGATTCCTGGCTCAAGTACCGGGATGGAAAGTGGTGGTGGTCGGGGATACCAAGACACCAAATGATTGGACGTAAGCGATTCTATTTGCATAGACAAACTAAAACTCATTACCGTAATAATAGTGTAATAAGAACCTTTTAAGATTACAGTTTGAAGAACGTGTCTTAAATCACAATATAAACTCTCCAAAAATGTAGGTGTATTCAAAATTAACAGATGGTTACAGAAATACAAAGAGGTATCAAGTCATGGTAAAGGATTGATAAGAATAAGAATGTCGTTGGGTTTTTATTCCGAAAGTCATTCTTCAAATCTGATTATTCTTCTGGTGACCGATCATAACATATATACTCAACAACAAGAGTTCCTGTGACACCAATATTTTAGTGTATTTTTCAGACAAGTAAAGTTTGGTTTTCAATATTGTAGTACTTGTATGGAATCAAGTCACAAAAACGCAAATACTACAGAAAAGCATGCATTCCATGCAAAATGTGACTTTTATGCAAGCCCAATGCATTTCACTGCCCAAGAATGGTTAAAAAACGTGTGCGTTAACGGGATTCCATATGCATTGTTTAGCATCGTGCTGACAATAACCACTCAGAAATACAACAAAATTACGCAATTATTCAATATTTCGAAATGCCACGCCTGTCCGAAAATGAGCATCTGCGAGCCATTGGTATGCTTGAAGCAGGATCGAGTCAACGTCATGCTGCAAGACAATTTAACGTCCATAGAAACACCATTTGGTGTTTATGGCAACGTTGGCAACAGACGAATGCAGTCAGAGACCATCCTTTGAGTGGCAGGCCACACGTAACCAATAATCGACAACACAACTGGATTCGAACAACACACCTACGAAATCGATTCTAGGCAGCAACTGTGACAACAAGAAGCATCCCTTGCCTTCGACCAATATCTTCACAAACCGTACGTCGCCGCCTCAGATGTGCAGGGATTGGCGCCAGAAGACCCGGCAGACGTCCCATTGTGACCGGAAACCACCGTCAAGCACGTCTACAGTGGTGCAGACAGCGTCTACGCTGGACAGCCATGCAGTGGGGACAAGTTCTATTCACTGACGAGTCTCGTTTTCACCTCAGCCACAGCGATGGACGGATTCGAGTGTACCGACGTCGAGGTGAACGCTACGTCAATCATTGTGTCATGGAAGAAGATCGGTTCGGGGATGGCAGCGTTATGGTAAGGGGTGGAATCACTGCAAGACAGAGTTCCGTTTGATAGTGGTAGAGGTAAAAGTGACAATGGACAGTGCTACCCCGACGAGATCATCGGCCCTGTTGTTCTCTCGTTTTTGCGTCGTCATGGCCTTACCTTCAACATAACAACGCCCGGCCTCATATTGCTCGACTTGTTCAGGATTCTCTTCAACAAAACAACGTGAATGTCATCCCCTGGCCGGCTCGCTCCCCTGATCTCTCACCAATCGAGCACATGTGGGATGAGATGGATCGGCGCCTTCGACGTCAACCACATGTTCCACAGACACTCCAGGAACTTCGAAACATGCTCCAGCAGATATGGACAGATATCCCACAGGACTTTGTGCGACGCCTGGTCCATTCCATGAGACGAAGATGTGGTACTTGCATCGCATCCAGAGGTGGACACACACGCTATTGATTTGTAAATTGACATTTTGGCATGTTCATGTTTTTGTTATGAAATTACGCATTTTCTGAAGTCAGTATGGCAAATTAAACCATTTGAACACTTACAGTAGTCTTTTATCTGTTGCAAACCGAAATTGTTTCAGATTTGGTAAAAAAAACATAACTTTGCGTAAACTTTTATTCAATGTCACAGGAACTTTTGTTGTAAAGTATATATTTCATGACATCGGAGAGTAGAATTGTTCAACAGCGTTTGAACGAAGGAAAGGTGTAGCTAGGTTATGGCTTTCGATCATGCCACTGGCCTGGTTTCCAGGCATTTCAAGTGCCCCTACTGTGAAATTAATGGAATGTGCTGAATAGGGCATAAACCATGCTCACTAGAGATGCATTTTTTAGTAATTTGTCATGTTTCTTGTATGTGTTTTGCAGGTTACCAAACTGTGTTTATCTAAGTGTAGAAGACCAGCGCCACCTGGGATTCAAGACAGTGTCTCTCCTTCCCACGCAAAACTATGCCAGGAAGAACGTGGGATATTTGTTTGCCATTGCTCATGGTGCGAAGATCATATATGAAACAGATGATGACAATCGACCACTTGATTTACTTGAGAATTTCATCCAGGACGAAACGACGTGGGGACTGTTGTATAATGGGGGAAAACTTTTCAACCCATATCGTCACTTTGGACAACCCTCATTGTGGCCAAGAGGTTACCCTCTCAGTTCTGTTGGAGAGAATTTCTCAACTGAGTATACACTAAGTCACTGGAAAACCCCGTCAATGCAGCAGGGTGTGGTCAATGGTGACCCTGATATGGATGCGATTTTCAGACTCACCCGGAAGATTACAACTTCTAAACTCAATGTGGCGTTTGATGGAGAAGCCCCACCAGCACTTCTTCCTCCAGGAGTGTTCGCTCCCTATAACTCCCAGAATACCCTCTTCCTGTATGATGCATTGTGGTCTCTCGTGCTTCCAACCACTGTTACATTCCGAGTGTGTGACATTTGGAGAGGCTACATGGCTCAAAGGTTAATATGGGAGATGGGTGGAAACTTAGGATTCTTTCCTCCAAATGCTTTTCAGGTAAGGAACGCCCATTCTTACCTAAAAGATGCTACTGAAGAAAAAGATCTGTATTTCAAAACAGAACGTTTTGTGGCCTTCTTACGTGTGTGGACATGTGAATCATCTAAATCCTTCTTTGAATGTATGACACAGTTGGCATCTGACATGGCCCAAAACGATTTTTGGGGGGACACTGATGCGAAACTGATTTCATTTTGGGTCCAGGACCTCAAAGCTCTTGGGTACAAGGAACCAGCAAGGGTTGCATTTTCACAAGTCGGAACTGATTCGAAATTGTCAAAGCCAGAACGCCAAACTGATCAAGAGTTTCGTGTCAAATTCTGGGCATCTGAACAGTCACCACCACTGATATATTCAACAATTAAGGAACAACGTGGCTTTACGTCGCATGTCAGTCAAATATCTTCATATTGCAGATTTCAGTCGTTAGAGGTGAATGCTGTGAAGGGAATAAGAACCTATCCTCATCTCCTTCTGATAGTAGTCTTTAAGTCGCCCAACTATCAGAACCTCCAGTTTATAGAAACATATTACAGTGTCCACTTCCAACACATTGTCTATTGTGGAGCCAACAAAAATCAGTTTGAGAATCAAGCTAATCTCCTCTCAAAGCCTGCTTCCTTTCTTGAGATTGATATTGGTGATAGGTGGATCGCTCAAAACTGTTTAACTCAAGCAATGAAAATGCGGTATAACGTTGAGGGCTATCTTTATACTGACAGTAACATACTACTGAACACATGGACTCGATACGACCTTCCCTTAGGCCAACTCTGGCTTGGCAACTCATCAGTTCAGCAGCAAAGTTCAAGTGGGTTTATGTTTCCCAATCTTAAGGATGGATTGGAAGCTATTGTTAAAAAGTTTAAATTGCCAGATGGGAATAGATATAGTGCTTTTGCACAAAAGCTATTGGATAATTTGGAGAGCAAAGTCGAATTATTTAACGGTGGGTCAGAAATTGCTTATGTCCCTAAGATATACAAACAAGACGTCATGTATTTTGTCGAGCATTTTTCAAAATTAAGTATGCCCGGTGAGTTCATATTTCCAACTGTGTTTGGTGGTATTGAAAACTGGAAAAACGTTCATAGATTAACAGAAACGTATTTATCGTATGATGGAAACAGTCAAGACATGAAAACATTTTTGGCTTTAAAGGACGTGCTTCATTTGCCCAGAACAACATTTATGCCCAAAGGAAGAAACTTCTTTTGCAACACAGTCTTCCCACTAACTTTGAATAATCATTGAAATACAGGCATTGATCGTGTTATTCATTTGAGATTGTCTACTGGGATAGAGACCTACCATTTATAAACATTCACAATTAGATAGAAATAAGCCATCCATATGTATTTCATCGAACTTTCTCATCCCCAACGTCAACCTGAAGAACAGTGGTCGGGCAAAATTGAAATAGAAAAAATAGAAAATTGAAAGAACATAAAATAACGTTTTTCACTAATTATGTAACCTATATTATGACATTCTTAAGTTAAAACACTTGGTGTCAACCTATTAATTACTTATTGACGTAGATCGAGTCGCTTTGCTCCGGTGCTGTTTTTTTTATGAATGTGCAATTGTCTTTATCACATCAGGGCATATGTTTTTACAGCAGCAGGGGAAATTGAGATACGAAAACATTGTATAATTTCACGTCAGAATAGAAATTAAGGGCGAGCAGGAGACGGGAAACAAATACGGACAGCCTAACCATCATAAGGGACAATTCAAATATATCCAAAATATATCATTTTCGATATCTTGTTTCCCCAAATATATACAATTTAGCATATTTCTGTATGTCCACACATACAATTTGGTATATTTTGAATAGCCAAAGAATATCCAAGGTTTGTATATATGGATAGATTTTACACTACTTCATTCAGTTTCTTTCTTTTACTTTAGTGAGGGATTATTTGGTTGCATACAGTGTGTGGTTGATTGATGTTTTCTTATATCTTCATTGAAAATGACACTAATAATTATGTACCGGACAGGATTCTTGTGGATGTTACAATACTATTTTGAAACTATTTTCATTGTGACAACTATACTGGAGGGTTATACTGCAATAATTTGTATTGATTGATGTCGACAGTACTTTACATAATAAAGAAATAGAACATTTGAGCAGACTTTAGTAACAGAAAGATCAATAATGACATAGTTAATATGTATGCCAGCTTTTTACAAACAAGAATATATATATATATATATATATATATATATATATATATATATATATATATATATTTATATTTATACAATTAGTTCACTAGTAGTCTTGTACAGTGACAATAAATACAATACAATCAATAAATATAATAGTTTGCGTTATATTTAGTCATGGTAGAATGATGATAAACATAGGTAACCTACCTCTACATTGAAAACACAGTATGTTTATCTCCTAATTATATATAAGGTTTGTAAGGTTTAAATCATAAAGAGTTGGTTTAATAATAATACTTATGATGTGATGATATTCACACACACACACTCACACACACTCACACACACACACACACACACACACACACACACACGCACGCACGCACGCGCGCACGCACGCGCGCGCGCGCGCGTACATGCACATCGCTTTAATAGTGCAATAATCGTGGACGCGACGTTAAACCCCATTTCACCTCACCTCACTGTGCAATTTGTAATTGCGACCACCATGTTCCAATCGTCTCAGTGATCGAACGATTGGGAAGTAATTGTAATTTGTGTAAACTGCCGGGCAAAAGTAAGTATACACCCATGTTTGATGGTGGTTAAAAATGAAACAAACAAGAAATGGTTATTCGATGGAGATATATTTGCTTCGGGTATCTTAGGCGATACTACATGCATCATATGAATGAGTGTCTCACAACAGGTGACGTGCACATGACGTCTTAAGGAACACGGGGGTCGCAATTTTACAGTACACAGGAGTGATATTAGAATGGCAGGCATTTTCTTTTGCCCGGTTGTGTATATATATCCTAGGAATATACTTTTAGACTGTTTGAGAATTGGTGTCGGTTTTTTCTTTTACTGTTCTAGTATATTTGATAATGTACAGCAGTAATGAATAGTTTCCTAGACAGAAAGCATGATCTATGATACGGTTTCTGGTAGTTCGTAACACTCTTTGGACGACATACACCTCATGCCTGCAATCCGACTATCCCCTCTCCCTGGTAAGTTACATTATGTCAAGAGGTCTTTGTGTGTCAAGGAAGTAAGAAAACCAGCTGATGCCTGATGCTGAAGAACCGTGTTCACAGCTGAACGACATAGTATTTTTCTGCACTGACAGAAACTGGATATATTGACACACAGCTATTATATATATTTAGATAACCCCTGATCAAATAGATGCCCTTCGTTTATCTATATGTGGAGTACCGTATATACCTGTGATAACGATACCGATGGCGATGCTGATGCTGATGGTGGTGGGGATGAAAATGATGGTGACGGCGATGATGATGGTGACGACGATGATGATGGTGATGGTGATGATATGCTGATATCCTTGCATTGATTGCAAACTTTAACATTTGAAAAATGAAACACACATATAGTTGATCATATGATCAAGGCCCCTGGCGTTGCCTGGTGGTAAAAACGTTCGCTGCTCGTGCCGAAAGTCCAGGTTCGATTCTGTGCATATCAGAGGCACAATGTGGAAATCTCCCGCCGTGATATTGCCGGAATATTGCTAAGGCGGCGTAAAATCCGACTCGCTCACAAACTCTCATAAATCACTGTGCCATTTCTAACCAAGGTTCTGCAGATGACACCGGAGTACGTCAAGATTCAACTCTCGGTTGGTCTTCTTCCATTATATCTTACTAGGTGGCGCTACTGGCCTCGCTAGGTCGTTCATTCATCCACAGGGCTGTGTACATGAATGGCGACACTTTCTTAAAGCGGTTGTCAAGTAGGGGTCTATTTCATGGGAAGTTGACCTCAAACGATTCAAGCAGTCCTACTTTTATCTGATCCATTGACCTAAGTTTGTGGCTCTGTGACAACACGTACAAAAGAAAGTCTTTGTACAGGAGATGCAATGGGCTATTCATGACAAATCACAGGCTTTTACGGATTGTGAACAGGCTTCGCGATGTCGACGTCTTATCCGTTGTCCTCGCATAAATATTAACATATCTTCAAGATCTGTCTAAATGAATGGCGTGACAACATTCAAGAAGTACGTTAACGGTTATGTGAAATATTAGAATGATTCCACCACAGAAGCCAAATCTTTAAGTTGTTTGATTCTTTGTTAGCATTTTCAATAAATGTTGTTCACGAGAGGTTCCTGCATAGATATATCTAGATCGGTGACGCTGACCCGTACCCAGATCAGGACATACTCACTCACTCACTCACTATACAACCAATAAAACAATCAATCAACTTCATAAAACAATACATATAAATCAATATAACAAGTAAATCAATCAATAAAACAACTCAATCAAACAAACCAATCAAACAATCAATCGTGCTATCTAAATGCAAGAAAGTGGAAATCGAGTGATGGATGCTTGACTCATTGTAAGTCTTTGTACGCCATTGTATCGTTGCTGGTGGTACCAGTTACCAGTTTGGGCCAGACGAAGCATTAACGAAGGTAAGAGTTTAATCAGAAGTCTCCTTAAGGGAGACTGGTATCACACCTGTGATCCCTGGCGATAAGAAATACGGCATTACATACTAGGCCAGCAGTTAGACGTATCAACGTATAATCATAAATTCTCCCCAGCGTAATATATATCTTGTACGTGTGTAAACAGGGTGTGTTTGGTAACTTGAGTAGGAAGCACAAGTGCACGAAGGGATGTTATTTCAGATGACAAATGAAAGAAGACAGAATGATTGTGACGCAAATTTAGTGACTGGTGGCCGTGTTGGTTTTCATCATTCGCCAACACACACACACACACACACACACACACACACACACACACACACACATATATATATATATATATAAATTGTGCTTTCTTGACAACAAATGTTATAATTGGGATTAGTAAAGTACAGATGCTCGTACGTTTAGACGTTGATGGCTGATTATAAATGGACAAATTAAAGCCAAAACTTATCTTATGAATTATTGGTAAATGGCAATGGACAATGGACAAACGGGAGGCCGGGATAATTAGTGCCAATTACCTGTTGGCTTCCCTTGTTACGTTTCCTCCTTTGCTATCTTTTTACTTTTGTTGTTCTTACAGGTACATATCTATGTTCTCTGCTTCATAGCGTTATTCACCTGATGGTGGAGGAAGTAGGTTCTCCGAAACGTTGTGTTCCTCATAATAAAGACATTGACATCCATACATTTTCTTCCTTGTGTGTATCACTTCTTAACGCCTTCAGAGCCTCAATCTAGCTTTGTTTTTAAATGTTGAGATATTTGCGTGGAATATAATATGGTCATGCCTATAAACATTTGGGTCTTTGTCTACATGAGCATTTAGACATAAATTTTATAGCTAATTATAAGGAAATTGCTAAATCTGCAGGGATGAAGTACACTTTATAGCAAGCTGTGATCTTTATTCACACTTTAGATATTCGTAATGGAGATCTGTAACTGAAGTTTATCGTAATTTTCCGCTCTCACCTCCTGACCAGCTGAACGTCTTAGTGCATTCTGATGCCATTGTAAAATTCCAGGCTGCCATTCTTTCTGTGATGTTTTGACAGATGAAATCTATTGCGTTATAATACTCTCTGTTTGCTGATATTTAATATGTACATATAGTAAAATATTTACGATATTTTAAACGTGTAATTCAATGCATGCAATGCAATGTGAACATGAGTGCGGATGCACAGTTAAAGTTATAGTGTGATGGATGTAGGGGAATGGTAGGAGGGTGTATGTACGTAAGCACGAATACCGATATATGAAGTTATAGTTCGATGGATGTTGGGGAATGCTGGGAGGATGGATTATGTATGTAAGCATGCCCATGTATCCATGATGGCTGACGTAGACATAATAAGATGGCTGTTGGGATAAAGGAGAAAGATGAATGCGATGTGTGTGCGCGTGCGTGCGTGCGTGCGTGCGTGCGTGCGTTGTGATACGAGGGTTGGCGAACATGTTTTGAGATGATTGTGTATGTAAGTTAAGTGGTTGAGGATGTGGCAGGTATGAGTATTGATACATGCAGACTTGGGGTTTGGGGACTGGGTGTGCCTGTACTGATGTCTTTTCTTTCACTCACTTTTTTTTACTGCCAACTGAGGACTTGAGACAAAACCATGCCAAATGGGGACTTAACTATCTTGAAGCAATTTCTACAATATATTTTCGTATTTGTAAAAGGGAATAGCTGGGCAAAGCATTTATCATAAGGGACTTGAGAAAAAGACACTTTGAAATTGCTAGACATAATACTAGCAACTGAGGACTCAGAGTACACACTGGCAACTGAGGACTCAGAGTACACACTGGCAACTGAGGGCTCAGAGTACACACTGGCAACTGAGGACTCAGAGTACACACTGGCAACTGAGGGCTCAGAGTACACACTGGCAACTGAGGACTCAGAGTACACACTGGCAACTGAGGACTCAGAGTACACACTGGCAACTGAGGGCTCAGAGTACACACTGGCAACTGAGGACTCAGAGTACACACTGGCAACTGAGGACTCAGAGTACACACTAGCAACTGAGGGCTCAGAGTACACACTGGCAACTGAGGGCTCAGAGTACACACTGGCAACTGAGGACTCAGAATACACACTGGCAACTGAGGACTCAGAATACACACTGGCAACTGAGGACTCAGAATACACACTGGCAACTGAGGACTCAGAGTACACGCTGGCAACTGAGGGCTCAGAGTACACCCTGGCAACTGAGGACTCAGAGTACACACAGGCAACTGAGGACTCAGAGTACACACTAGCAACTGAGGACTCAGAGTACACACTAGCAACTGAGGACTCAGAGTACACACTGGCAACTGAGGACTCAGAGTACACACTGGCAACTGAGGACTCAGAGTACACACTGGCAACTGAGGACTCAGAGTACACACTGGCAACTGAGGACTCAGAGTACACACTGGCAACTGAGGACTCAGAGTACACACTGGCAACTGAGGACTCAGAGTACACACTGGCAACTGAGGACTCAGAGTACACACTGGCAACTGAGGACTCAGAATACACACTGGCAACTGAGGACTCAGTGTACACACTGGCAACTGAGGACTCAGAGTACACACTGGCAACTGAGGACTCAGAATACACACTGGCAACTGAGGACTCAGAATACACACTGGCAACTGAGGACTCAGAATACACACTGGCAACTGAGGACTCAGAGTACACGCTGGCAACTGAGGGCTCAGAGTACACCCTGGCAAATGAGGACTCAGAGTACAGACAGGCAACTGAGGACTCAGAGTACACAGTGGCAACTGAGGACTCAGAGTACACACAGGCAACTGAGGACTCAGAGTACACACTGGCAACAGAGGACTCAGAGTACACACAGGCAACTGAGGACTCAGAGTACACACTGGCAACAGAGGACTCAGAGTACACACAGGCAACTGAGGACTCAGAGTACACAGTGGCAACTGAGGACTCAGAGTACACACAGGCAACTGAGGACTCAGAGTACACACTGGCAACTGAGGACTCAGAGTACACACTGGCAACTGAGGGCTCAGAGTACACACTGGCAACTGAGGGCTCAGAGTACACACAGACAACTGAGGGCTCAGAGTACACACTGGCAACTGAGGGCTCAGAGTACACACTGGCAACTGAGGACTCAGAGTACACACTGGCAACTGAGGACTCAGAGTACACACTGGCAACTGAGGACTCAGAGTACACACTGGCAACTGAGGGCTCAGAGTACACACTGGCAACTGAGGGCTCAGAGTACACACTGGCAACTGAGGGCTCAGAGTACACACTGGCAACTAAGGGCTCAGAGTACACACTGGCAACTGAGGACTCAGAGTACACGCTGGCAACTAAGGGCTCAGAGTACACACTGGCAACTGAGGACTCAGAGTACACACTGGCAACTGAGGACTCAGAGTACACACTGGCAACTGAGGACTCAGAGTACACACTGGCAACTGAGGACTCAGAGTACACACTGGCAACTGAGGGCTCAGAGTACACACTGGCAACTGAGGGCTCAGAGTACACACTGGCAACTGAGGACTCAGAGTACACACTGGCAACTGAGGGCTCAGAGTACACACAGACAACTGAGGGCTCAGAGTACACACTGGCAACTAAGGGCTCAGAGTACACACTGGCAACTGAGGACTCAGAGTACACGCTGGCAACTAAGGGCTCAGAGTACACACTGGCAACTGAGGACTCAGAGTACACACTGGCAACTGAGGACTCAGAGTACACACTGGCAACTGAGGACTCAGAGTACACACTGGCAACTGAGGGCTCAGAGTACACACTGGCAACTGAGGGCTCAGAGTACACACAGGCAACTGAGGGCTCAGAGTACACACTGGCAACTGAGGGCTCAGAGTACACGCTGACAACTGAGGGCTCAGAGTACACACTGGCAACTGAGGACTCAGAGTACACACAGGCAACTGAGGGCTCAGAGTACACACAGGCAACTGAGGACTCAGAGTACACACTGGCAACTGAGGACTCAGAGTACACACTGGCAACTGAGGGCTCAGAGTACACACTGGCAACTGAGGACTCAGAGTACACACTAGCAACTGAGGGCTCAGAGTACACACTGGCAACTGAGGACTCAGAGTACACACTAGCAACTGAGGACTCAGAGTACACACTAGCAACTGAGGGCTCAGAGTACACACTGGCAACTGAGGGCTCAGAATACACACTGGCAACTGAGGGCTCAGAATACACACTGGCAACTGAGGGCTCAGAGTACACACTGGCAACTGAGGACTCAGAGTACACACTGGCAACTGAGGACTCAGAGTATACACTGGCAACTGAGGGCTCAGAGTACACACTGGCAACTGAGGACTCAGAGTACACAATGTCAGCAGTGTTTTGTGGCCTGAATACCACTCTTTTATAACATATTAGAGCATACCAGACGACTTCTCGTCGTCATCATTCTCGTTTTCTTATCACATACTACGTGTGTGAGGCAACATCTGAATAAACTAGGGCTCCGACATTGACTTTGTTTCATTGTCTTAATGCCATCTAAACACAGCTCATTTAACGTCTGGCAGTATTTCCCCCCTTCTTTTATCTGGGACTTGGAAACACACCCACAACAGAGGATTTGAGGAGTAAACTCAGGTTCATTTGTCATAAGCCTTCCAAATGAGTGTGGTTTTACGCAGCTTTTAGCAATATTCCAGCAATATCACGGCGGGGGACACCGGAAAGGGAGTTTCACACATTGTACCCATTTGGGGAATCGATCCCAGGACTTAGACGTGATGAACCAACGCTTTAACCACCAGGCTACCCCACACTCTCACCTTCCAAGTGAGGACTTGGAATACACACATGCAACTGAGGGCTCAGAGTACACACTAGCAACTGAGGACTCAGAGTACACACTGGCAACTGAGGGCTCAGAGTACACACTGGCAACTGAGGACTCAGAGTACACACTGGCAACTGAGGACTCAGAGTACACACTAGCAACTGAGGGCTCAGAGTACACACAGGCAACTGAGGACTCAGAGTACACACTGGCAACTGAGGACTCAGAGTACACACTGGCAACTGAGGGCTCAGAGTACACACTGGCAACTGAGGACTCAGAGTACACACTAGCAACTGAGGGCTCAGAGTACACACTGGCAACTGAGGACTCAGAGTACACACTAGCAACTGAGGACTCAGAGTACACACTAGCAACTGAGGGCTCAGAGTACACACTGGCAACTGAGGGCTCAGAATACACACTGGCAACTGAGGACTCAGAGTACACACTGGCAACTGAGGGCTCAGAGTACACACTGGCAACTGAGGACTCAGAGTACACACTGGCAACTGAGGACTCAGAGTACACACAGGCAACTGAGGGCTCAGAGTACACACTGGCAACTGAGGACTCAGAGTACACACTGGCAACTGAGGGCTCAGAATACACACTGGCAACTGAGGGCTCAGAATACACACTGGCAACTGAGGACTCAGAATACACACTGGCAACTGAGGGCTCAGAATACACACTGGCAACTGAGGGCTCAGAATACACACTGGCAACTGAGGGCTCAGAGTACACACTGGCAACTGAGGACTCAGAGTACACACTGGCAACTGAGGACTCAGAGTACACACTGGCAACTGAGGGCTCAGAGTACACACTGGCAACTGAGGACTCAGAGTACACAATGTCAGCAGTGTTTTGTGGCCTGAATACCACTCTTTTATAACATATTAGAGCATACCAGACGACTTCTCGTCGTCATCATTCTCGTTTTCTTATCACATACTACGTGTGTGAGGCAACATCTGAATAAACTAGGGCTCCGACATTGACTTTGTTTCATTGTCTTAATGCCATCTAAACACAGCTCATTTAACGTCTGGCAGTATTTCCCCCCTTCTTTTATCTGGGACTTGGAAACACACCCACAACAGAGGATTTGAGGAGTAAACTCAGGTTCATTTGTCATAAGCCTTCCAAATGAGTGTGGTTTTACGCAGCTTTTAGCAATATTCCAGCAATATCACGGCGGGGGACACCGGAAAGGGAGTTTCACACATTGTACCCATTTGGGGAATCGATCCCAGGACTTAGACGTGATGAACCAACGCTTTAACCACCAGGCTACCCCACACTCTCACCTTCCAAGTGAGGACTTGGAATACACACATGCAACTGAGGACTTGAGGTTTACACTCAAGTTCGTTTGTCATACAACTCCTTCTAAGTGAGGACTCGGAATACAAACATGCAACTGAGGACTTGAGGTTTACTCTCAAGTTCGTTTGTCATACAGTTCCTTCCAAGTGAGAACATGGAATACTCACATGCAACTGAGGACTTGAGGTTGACACTCAAGTTCGTTTGTCATACAACTCAATCCAAGTGATGACTTGGAATACTCACATGCAACTGAGGACTTGAGGTTGACTCTCAAGTTCGTTTGTCATACAACTCCTTCCAAGTGAGGACTTGGAATACACACATGCAATGGGAATTTGAGGTTTACTCTCAAGTTCGTTTGTCATACAATTCCTTCCAAGTGAGAACATGGAATACTCACATGCAACTGAGGACTTGAGGTTAACACTCAAGTTCATTTGTAATACAACTCCTTACGCAGCTTTTAGCAATATTCCAGCAATATGACGGCGGGGGACACCGGAAAATTGGTTTCACACATTGTACCTATTACGGGAATCGAACCCGGGCCTTCGCCGGGACGAACCAACACTTTAACCACAAGGCTACCCCATCGCCCCCATTTGTCATATCACTCCTGCCAAGTCATTGATCTGTGGACACAATTCCAACTGGCCATTTGTAAGCCTTCTGCTTTCGCTGGATAAACCAGAGCTTATGGTCTCAGTTTTGTAATCAGACATGTTCGAGGCAGTGGTTCTATTTCAAACCCCTAACATATTTAAAGGAACCAACCATGAAATAGAATACAAAAGAAGGAAATTTGCACACATAAGTTTATTAACATATCACACATATTCAATTGCCGACCACGTGGAGTAATGACCGACTGAAACAAGGTATTCAGATTTTTAAAAAACCCGAAGAGGCAGGCACAGAAGCACACTCAAAACAACGAGTCACAACGGTGCATATATCTGTCAACCCTATCACAATGCCACAATTAGTATACCCTAACCAGTTCTTGCCATTTCACTCATTACACATGTGCTGAGCTTGAGCACTGGCCGTCTGGGTGCGCAGAAACAGTACACGAACAAAGTCAAACAACAATACATGCTGTACGTTTGCTCTACAATGAGTAATATTAAATAACTGACACCATATTTACCTGACAGCCGTACACTATTTATTCAAACTAACAAACAAATTTATTCAAACTCCAATTTATCCACATCCTCTTCTTTAGCCATCACAGCTACAAAGGGTTACGTATACATATCAAGGACAAAGCATCTTGGTGTCAGTCATATAAACATGATACAAAATAAATGAAATTCCTAGTGAGTCTTTATGCCAAATTAATCGAACAAATCTACCCATACAAATTTTAGAAATTTAAAAAGAAGCTTGCCCTAGAAAAATAAGAATTTACAGTTAGTTTTGTTTATTTTTAAATCATGCCCGTTACAACATCTTGAACGAATGGTTTGTGTCTTTTATGTAGATGTTGCCAGTGTGGGAAAAATATTATCTGTATCAAAACATAACAGCAAATAAGAAGGTAATGTACCTGGGCCCTTGTAAAAATATATATGTAGATATGCATGTTGTGAATGTGAACCCCACCAAGGACTAGTCACCATTAGTAATTCTTAACACTAATAGTTAGTCAATTAATACACAACAAAATTACAAAATATAAAAGATTGTGGTATCCGTCTGTCAAATGTATGTACCCATGTAGATGAATCCTGGCGTCTAATGCAACCTTATCAAATTTTACCATACAAATCGCCCGAAATCAAACCCCAAATACCTAACATAAGCGTGAGGTGAGGTGAAATGGGGTTTAACGTCGCGTCCAAGATTATTGCACTTATATAGCGACGTGCATGTACGTGTGTGTGTTTGTGTGGCTGCTTGTACTAGTCCGGACTGATGCCGATTTATAGTGCTAGCTCACTGAGATAACATGCCGCAGTTTAACATGAATACCCAACTCAGACACAGTATACTGACTCCGAGCCGACCAGTCCTTGTTTTAGCCCCTTAATGCCGAGCGCCAGACAGGGTAACAACAAGTACCATCTTTTAAAGTCTTTTGGTATGACGCGGCCGGGGATCGAACCCCAGACCTTCCGCTCTCCGGGCGGACGCTCTACCACTAGACCACGGAGGCGGTCCCTAACATAAGCAGATGACTGGACATGTTGTACACAATTTCGTGGTACTCTGACCAAAACTCTCATCAGGCTTAGTAAGGGGACATATTCCCTCATTTTACCACAGAATTATGATATATTCATCAATCAATCTGTAAAGTTGTTTTTCATCATTGTGGCTCAACATGTTCATCACTAAGGCTCAACATGTTCATCACTAAGGCTCAACATGTCCAACAGACACTAAACATAAACATCACTGAGGATCAACATATTGATCACTGAGGATCAACATATTGATCACTGAGGCTCAACATATTGATCACTGAGACTCAATATATTGATCACCGAGGATCAACATATCAATCACTGAGGCTCAACATATCCATCACTGAGGATCAACATATCCATTTCTGAGGCTCAACATGTTCATCATTGAGGCTCAACATATCCATCACTGAGGCTCAACATATTGATCACTGAGGCTCAACATGTTCATCAATGAGGCTCAACATATCTATCACTGAGGATCAACATATTGATCACTGAGGCTCAACATATTGATCACTGAGGCTCAACATATTGATCAGTGAGGCTCAACATATCCATCACTGAGGCTCAACATATCCATTACTGAGGATCAACATATCCATCACTGAGGATCAACATATCCATTACTGAGGATCAACATATTGATCAGTGAGGCTCAACATATCCATCACTGAGGATCAACATATCCATTACTGAGGATCAACATATCCATCACTGAGGATCAACATATCCATTACTGAGGCTCAACATGTTCATCATTGAGGCTCAACATATCCATCAATGAGGCTCAACATGTTCATCACTGAGGCTCAACATATCCAACAGACACTCAACATATACATCATTCAGGTTCAACATGTTCATCATTGAGACTCAACATATCTATCACTGAGGCTCAATATTTCCATCACTGTGGCTCAACATATTGATCACAGAGACTCATCATATTGACCACTGAGGCTCAACATATTGATCACTGAGGCTCAACATATTGGTCACTGAGGCTCAACATATTGACCACTGAGGCTCAACATATTGATCAATGAGGCTCAACATATTGATTACTGAGGCTCAACATATTGATCAATGAGGCTCAACATATTGATTACTGAGGCTCAACATATTGATCACTGAGGCTCAACGTAATCATCAAAGAGGCTATTTCCTTTTCTCATTTTTTCAAGTATTTAAACTTTTATCCAATTTCGTTATTTTGTTTCTAATGAAGTGTTTTATTCGTTTCCAGGATCTGTTTTTGAGGACAGAGTCCTTTCTCTTGGCATATAGACAGGACAACTTTCCCCGCTTTTTGACAAATTCTGACGAGTGTGTGGCAACTGCCCTTTTTCTTGGGCCGTCCATGCTCGAGGAGTGGTCCTTTTCCTTTTTGGGGATTTAGCAGACTCTGAAACGAAATCAGATAATAAAAGTGTTTGAGATAAACATAACAAACCTTATGTCAAAAATTACACATCAGTATGGTAGTCCCTAATGATATTTGATAAATATACCAGGAATTTTCTGACACGGGCCCTTTTATCTGAATATTCCAGAGGTACACCCACACTCGCCCAAACAGCATAATGTTAAAATGCCCCATTGAATATGTGGGCCTCTTTTTCAAACATTACAGCAAAACCACAAGCGAAGCCCCCCCCCCCCCCCCCCCCCCCCCCCCCCCCTCTGTCGTTAGTGTACATGTAACCACATACATTTTTGGGATTGATTGCTGTAAGTATCAAGTTGGCATGACAAATCATCACCAAGAGACAATCATGTCTTTAATCATATGCTCAATGATCATGAACAATTAGCTGTGGTTAGTGTATATGTAACCACATACATTGTTAGGATTGATTGCTGTAAGTATCAGGTTGGCATGACAAATCATCACCAAGAGACAATCACGTCTTTAATCATATGCTTAATGACCATGAACAATTAGCTGTGGTTAGTGTACATGTAACCTCATACATTGTTAGGATTGAATGCTGTGAGCATCAAGTTGGCATGACAAATCAACAGCAAGAGACAATCACGTCTTTAATCACATTCTTAATGATCATGAACAATAAGCTGTGGTTACACAAGAAGAGATAAACTTGCTATTTGACATATTGTTAAATCTATCATGCATTTTTCATGAAATATTGTTTGAATATTTTCAGATGGCTTCAGTATTTAATCACTAAGTACATACTTAAAATGCATTTCACATTGCACATTTAGACATGTTTTTTTCAAGAAAGAGAAATAAGACATACATTTTACAATGATATACATGATACATATAATACACTTGCAGTCTGATGCTGGTCAAACCAAAAGACCTTAATTGTCACTGTTACCTCAGTACTTCAGACTGACCTGTGGCCTGGGTCATCGATCTGACATACATCCTTATCTGGCCCTTGCAACAAATTATCAAAAATTAACCTCACATGTAATCGTTTACTTATCCCTCAGCATTCAAATCTGTCTGAAGCTCTGATGTCTTTCAGATCATATTTTCCTGACAATAATTGCAGGGGATACTAAAAGTCAAGATTACTACTAACCTTAGGGATCAATGGTCATGGACTCAAAGTCCTTGCCAGCATGTTCAGATAGCTTTCCTTTTTGTTTGTTGTTTAACGCCGCACTCAGCAATATTCCAGCTATATGACGGCGGTCTGTAAATAATCGAGTCTGGACCAGACAATCCAGTGATTAATGTCATGAGCATCGATCCGAGCAGTTGGGATCGATGACATGCATCAACAAAGTCAGCGAGCCTGACCACCCGATCCCGTTAGTCGCCTTTTACGACAAGCATAGTCGCCTTTTACGGCAAGCATGGGTTGCTGAAGACCTATTCTACCCCGGAATCTTCACGGGTCCAGATAGCTTTCCAGTGTTGAGAGCATGAAGGACTTCTGTCACCAAAGCCAGCTCCAATGTCCTTTCATTAAGTTGGTAAATGTCCCTGTGGATCCGGATATCGTGGCCCATGAATTTTGCAAACAGATCTTGGTTATTTGGGGTAAGACCAAGCACTTGAGACAATGTTGCCAGCTGCATTCGTAGGCGCGTCGAAGTGATACGGGAAGGATGCTTGGCTCCACACACTTTGGCCATCTCCCGAAGAGCGTCACATCCTCTAAGGGAAAAATACTCCTTGGTTTCCCAAAGAGAAGGTTTGTCTCAACATTCACCTTTGACCGCATGTCCACCAGATCCTATAACAAAGAATATTAACAAATAAATTACTTAGTCAATTGTCAGTGATGCCAGGAACATAGTAAAGCGTTTTATCAAACACGTTTTAAGTTTGTTTGATATATGAGCAGTTTATTATCAGTGCTAGCGCGTCTTAACATACATGAGAAATAAAAGATATTTGGCTTTTCTATATAAACGACACCTAATGTCATACATTTTCTCATCAACACTGACTGGCAACATGCATTATAACAATACAGAAACAGTTACAGGGCAGCTGCCAAAAGTAGATGTGACTTTGTTCATGTGTTGGTGATTAGTACAAATAAAATAGTAATAAGGTTTTAACACTTCATTACCCAAATAAGAAAATATATATTTCCAGGGTTTTTTTTCTTCGGGTGCGTGTGTGTGTGTGTGTGTGTGTGTGGCAGATTTAAGTTGTCATTGCTATTAGTTCATACACTAAGAATACTAAGTTAATAATTTGTGTGAACAATTTTGATTCTGAACCATTTTCACAAACTTATGATTTGATTGGTTGGTTTGTTGTTTAACGCCGCACTCAGCAACATTGCAGCTATATGACGGCGGTCTGTAAATCATCGAGTCTGGACCAGACAATCCAGTGATTAATATCATGAGCATCGATCCACGCAATTGGGATCCAAATCAAACCAAACCAAATCAGCGAGTCTGACCACCCGATCCCGTTGGTCGCCTTTTACGACAAGCATAGTCACCTTTTACGGCAAGCATGGGTTGCTGAAGACCTACTCTACCCCGGAATCTTCACGGGTCACAAACTTATGATAAACACTTGTATTGAAAACATTACTTCCAGACTTTGAACTCTTCTTAAAATGCAACAATTACAGGTTTCAGCAGTTCAAGTGCAACAGCAATGAGCAATGAATGATACAATTCAAATTCAAAGAATACCTTGACCTTTGATAGACATGGCAAAACCATTATATGTGTTAGGATTTGTAAAGATGGTTTCATGTTTGTGGAGGTAACCATGCCTTAAAATATGAAAGATGATAAGACCAAGTAAAAACATATCTAGAATGCTGACATTGACATATCTGTCGTGTGACTTTGTCTATGAACGTTTGCCATAGGATTTCCCAAAATCCATTTAGAATAATAATCTTTATTGTGAATACACTTTGTGTAGAAGACCAAACGTAAATCACCAAATTCTGACAAAACCCTAAAGCTGCCCAGTTTCACTGATTCGCTTAAGAAAATCCTACATTCCCATATGGTTGACATTTACCTTGAGGTTTTTCTCCATTTTTTTGGGTCAATATCAGTGAAACCCTTCTTCCTTTCTTTCCTCTTGTTTCAATACGCTTGTGAGTTTCGCATAATTTAACCTCAAATTTGTTTAAGCTTCGTTTCATCTCTGATTCGAGAGAACAATTTTCATTTTTCAAACCCTTGTAAAAGTTGGAGAGTTTAAGGCGTTGGACTTCTCCGCTTCGTTTTCTGTTAAAAGGAGTACCTGGCAAAGACATATTTATGTGAACTTGATGTATTTTCTTTCAACATCAGTGTTGTGGTAAACCTGTACGATGCTTTTTTATCCAGATATGTGTGGAGGCATACGACATCTTCAACAAGTGGCAACATTTGTGGCTGATTGTACTTGGCTGTGTTGAGGGTGGCATGTGCATGGACGGAGATTCACTCCGTCCATTCACCCTTATACAATTCAAGGAACCCTTTGGCCTTTTTTTTTAATTCTTCATCCTCATGCCTTGTTGCAAGGTTTCTTAATATTGCTGCACATTTTTGAAGGCTATAACCTAGTTTTAGGGCAAGGGAGGGGGAAGCATACGTATGACTTGACAGGTCATACCCCGCAACAGTTTGAACTCCTGTTAGGACAGCATCAAACTGTTGAGGGGTCAGACACTCTGACAAGGTACGTACATTTGTATTTGCCTGCTTGATGGCAATTAACAACCTCCCCAACTCTTTCATTTTTTGGGCAATGTATTGCCAATTGTGTTGGTTCGAACCCACTTTTTCATAGTTTCTCTGACCAAAGAGCAGAATGAGGGAGTCCTGTTTCACAATGTCAGTGACACAGTCCTCCCTCATTCTGTCCAGGATGTTAACATCAAATTCCCCCTTGTGTTTAAGAGGCAGCAACTGCCTTGAATTATCTAGAGTTCTCCCATGTGACGCTTCTTTGCTAAATTTTGGGCAGGTCTTTTGGTGTTTCCTCATTGATGTCTTGATAACAAAGGCGTGGCAAAACTCACAGGGGAGATAATTTTTCGCAGGTTTAGCTTCGCCGTCCCGTCATCTATATTTTAAAAGAAGGACACCTTGGTTTTGACTTAAAACTGAGTAATTATGATGGAGTCCCCTTCTCTTATCAACACCTCCCATGCATTTTTTCTTTCTTTTGATTTTTTTTGTACGCAGAGAATCCTTGCCACCCCAGGCTCATTGGCATGGCATGACTCAATGTGTCTTGGCAACTTTGAATAATATTTTTCACAAAAGACACAGCAGTGTTTCTTCAGTTGTCTTTTTCCTTGTACTTTCTTACAAGACTGTACTAAAATCTGTTGTGAAGTTTCTGTTGATTGTGGTATCTGTCTTGTTACAATACTGGGCCAGTTTGCCGTCTGCACAGACTCATCATCAGATGAATCTGGCACAAAATCTGTGGAGTCCGATTCTTCTTGGACATAGTCCTGATCATTAGGATCAGTACTATCAGTGCCTATACAAAAAATGACAACATCTGATAAGTAAAATGAAACTTATGTGAAAAACTATGACACAACAATGAGATATTTTAAACAGTGCTAGTTCATCCACCTCTATCTTCATAGTTTTATTCACAATGCATTCCTTTTGGGTCCTTGCAATACATTCATGATGTCATTGAGCCCTGTAACTTGATATCAGTAGGGCTCCTGATGCTAGTTTTGTACGCATCTTCCATGATAAATCTATATTGATCATTTGCCTTTCTTTAATACAAGCAAATTAACTATTAAAGGTTATTTTATGTTATAAAACATGACATCAGCAATTGACAAACATGCCATTAATTATTCTCTTGTAATAATCAATTTAGGTGATCATATGTATGTTACAAACAAATCATACATTGTGCTAGGATTGATTGCTGTAAGTGTCAGGTTGGCATGACAAATCATCAACAAGTGACAATCACGTCTCTAATTATATTCTTAATGATCATTAACAATTAGCTGTGGTTAGGGTGTTTGTAACAATATACATTGTTAGGATTGATTGCTGTAAGTATCAAGTGGCATGACAAATCATCACAAGGAGACAATCACGTCTTTAATCATTTTCTTAATGATCATGTACAATTAGCTGTGGTTAGTGTATATGTAACCACATACAATGTTAGGATTGATTGATGTAAGTATCAAGTTGGCATAACCAATCATCATCATCATTGTTTAGAAATAGGGCTTAGAAAATTTGTTACAATTTTGTCATCACCAGCTTTTGACCTGTGACATTCCCTGAAAATAATAAGTAAAACTCCACAAAGCATCGCATTCTCAAAGTAGTCTTTCATATCTTAGTCACTGAAATACCAATATAAGGAGACAAATAGATACCCGGTATGATATGTTCACCAGAACATCTCTTTGTACCACATACTACTATACTGAACAACAAAAGTTCCTGTGACATTGAATAAGATTTAATGCAAATTTGTTTTGTTTTTTACCAAATCTGAAACAATTTCGGTTTGCAACAGATAAAAGACTCCTGTAAGTGTTCAAATGGTTTAACTTGCCATACTGACTTCAGCAGAAAATGTTTGATTTCATAAAAAAACATGAACATGCCAAAATGTCAATTTACAAATGAATAGCGTGTGTGTCCACCTCTGGTTTGCGATGCAAGCAACACATCTTCGTCTCATGGAATGGATCAGGCGTCGCACAAAGTCCTGTGGTATATCTGTCCATATCTGCTGGAGCATGTTTCGAAGTTCCCAGAGTGTCTGTGGAACTCGTGGTTGACGTCGAAGGCGCCGATCCATCTCATCCCACATGTACTCGATTGGTGAGAGATCAGGGGTGCGAGCCGGCCAGGGGATGACATTCACATGGTTTTGTTGAAGAGGATCCTGAACAATTCGAGCAATATGAGACGGGCGTTGTCATGTTGACAGGTAATGCCGGGGCCATGACGACGCAAAAACGGTAGAACAACAGGGCCGATGATCTCGCGGTAGCACTGTCCATTGAGATTTCCCTCTACCACTATCAAACGGGTCCTCTGCCGCCCCCGAACCGATCTTCTTCCATGACACAATGATTGAAGTAACGTTCACCTTGACGTCGGTGTACTCGAATCCGTCCATCGCTGTGGCTGTGGTGAAAACGAAACTCGTCAGTGAATAGAACTTGTCCCCACTGCATGGCCTTTCTAACCACTTAGTTTTAGCATATTTGAAAGAAATTAAACTGTATGACAAGATGTAGATTTAAGATTTGAATGTCAGTTTTTAACTGTTTACTGTGATAAAGGACTGAAGTTTTAGTGATCTTCGTCGTCATTTTTATATAATGTTGTCTGAAGGTAATTTTGTTTTTCTAGCCGCGAATAGCTGGAATATTGCTGATGCGGCTTAAAGCACCACTTACGCACTCACCCACTGCATGGCCGTCCAGCGTAGACGCTGTCTGCACCACTGTAGACGTGCTTGGCGGTGGTTTCCGGTCAAAATGGGACATCTGGCAGGTCTTCTGGCGACAATCCCTGCTCATCTGAGGCGACAACGTACGGTTTGTGAAGATATTCGTCGAAGGCCAGGGATGCTTCTTGCAGTCACTGTTACTGGCTGGAATCGATTTCGTAGGTGTGTTGTTCGAATCCAGTTGTCTAGTCGATTATTGGTTACGCGTGGCCTGCCACTCCAAGGATGGTCTCTGACTGCATTCGTCTGTTGCCAACGTTGCCATAAACACCAAATGGTGTTTCTGTGGATGTTAATTTGTCTTTCAACATCACGTTGACTCGATCCTGCTTCAAGCATACCAATGGCTCGCAGACGCTCATTTTCGGAGAGGCGTGGCATTTCGTAATGTTGAATAATTGCGTAATTTTGTTGTATCTCTGAGTGGTTGTTGTCAGCACGATGCTAAACAATGCATTTGTAATCCCATTAACTCACATGTTTTTATATCCATTCTTGGGTAGTGAAATGCATGCTTTTCTGTAGCAGTTGCGTTTTTGTGACTTGATTCCATACATGTACTACAATATTGAAAACCAAACTTTATTTGTTTGAAAAATACACTAAAATATTGGTGTCACAGGAACTTTTGTTGTTGAGTATATATCAATTCAAGTAATTTTAGGTAACAAAACCTTGAGCCTTTCCTCTCAATATCAATAAAAGTTGGTATTTCTAATTTGAAAAAAACAACAGATATTGATTAAGAGGGTACATTATGGCGCAAGAATGTATTAGCATACTTTTAAGTATGAAACTTTTACAACAAAGCATTCTTTTCCAGAAGACGTTCAAAATCTAACTTAACTGCTATCTGTTTACTGTAAACCATGAAATTAATGCATCACCAAATTAATGGTTTTGGAATATTGACTTTGACATGCTGGCTCATGTTTTCTATAATTTATCCAAAACGTCCAAGCAGTGAAAATGATGAAAGCGGGAACAATGCAACACATATTAAATCATCATCTGGGGGTATTGTGAGGGATAAAAAACAGTACGCTAAAGTAAATTTCCATTTTCGTACATCAAAAGAAGAAGATCCTATCACCAAATGATGTGAGTGAAAATGACAATGCCTGTAACTTACTAGTAATATTGTTGGTGGAGGGGATTCTGAGTTGTTTGACAAAAATGAGTACAGAGAAACTGTCCATGATGGCAACAATCAAAACTAAATCAAATTGACTCTTTGTAGACAGATTTTTTTCTGGAAAAAATGGCTAACAAAATATACAATAAATTTAAAGAAGGAAAATCTGGCTATACATCATTTAAGTGTGAAATACTTTCATTTAAATGATATTTGTCAAAACATAACAAAATATTTAAAAAATGCCCAGTTTAATACATATATTATTTACTAGAAGATAACAGAGAAGCAGGCGAAAAAGCCAAGTCGGTTCCTTCTGCTGTAAAGGTGATGGCTTCAGTCTTTTGGGATTTCAAGGGTCTTCTGCTGATTGACTATTTTGAAAAAGGCCAGACTATCAATGGAAGATATTATGCTGACCTACTGAGACAGTTGCGTGAAGCTATCAAAGCTAAGCGACGGGGAATGATCACTAAAGGAGTCCTGTTCGAACCCACATTCATAGGTTTCTGGCGCGACCAAGTGACGCAACTCTGCACAGTGAATCGCGGCGCTTTAGACGACTGGGCCACCCGTGCCCCCGAATTAACGCTATGAGGCAGAGAACATATGTATGTACCTGTAAGAACAACAAAAGTAAAAAGATAGCAAAGGAGGAAACGTAACAAGGGAAGCCAACAGGTAATTGGCGCTAGTTACCCCGGCCTCCCGGTGTGTATGTATTTGTCATCTGAAATAACATCCCTCCGTGCACTTGTGCTTCCTACTCAAGTTACCAAACACATCCTGTTTACACACGTACAAAATATATATATTACGATTGTACGTTGATACGTCTAACTGCTGGCCTGGTTTGTTTGTTTGGTTTGTTTGTTTGTTGTTTAACGCCGCACTCAGCAATATTCCGACGGTCTCTAAATAATCGAGTCTGGGCCAGACAATCCAGTGATTGACATCATGAGCATCGATCCACGCAATTGGGATACGATGACATGCATCAACCAAGTCAGCGAACCTGACCACCCGATCCCGTTAGTCGCTTGTTATGACAAGTATAGTCGCCTTCTACGGCAAGCATGGGTTCCTGAAGACTTATTATGCAATGCCATGTTTCTTATCGCCAGGGATCACAGGTGTGATACCAGTCTCCCCCAGGAGACGTCTGATTAAACTCTTTGCTTCGTCAATGCTTCGTCTCGCCCAAACTGGTAACTGCTACCACTAGCAACGATACAATGGCGTACACAGACTTACAATGAGTCAAGCATCCGTCACTCGATTTCCATTTCTTGCATTTAGAAAGCACGATTGATTGTTTGATTGATAGATTGTTTGAGTTAATTGATTGGTAGATTGATTGAGTTGTTTGATTAAATTGTTTGATTGAGTTGTTTGATTAAGTTGTTTTATGAAATTGTTTGATTGAGTTGTTTTATTGATTGATTTACTTGTTATATTGATTGTATTGTTTAATGAAGTTGATTGATTGTTTTATTGGTTGTTTTAGTGAATGAGTGAGTGAGTGCCCGTTCCACTAGTATGTCCGGACCTATCTGGGTACGGGTCACCGGTATAGCGTCACCGATCTAGATATATCTATGCAGGAATAGGTTAGCCATGCGGATAGCGTTATCTCGATTAATGTATTCAGGAACCTCTCGTGAACAACATTTATTGAAAATTCTACCGAAGATTCAAACAACTTAAGGATTTGGCTTCGGTGGAGGAATCATTCTAATATTTCACATAACCGTTAACGTACTTCTTGAATGTTGAATGCCATTCATTCAGACAGATCTCGGAGATATATTAATATTTATGCGAGGACAACGGATTAGACATCGCGAGGCCGGTTCACAATCCGTAAAAACCTGTGATATGTCATGAATAGCCCATTGCATCTCCTGTACAAAGACTTTCTTTTGTACGTGTTGTCACAGAGCCTAAAACTTCAGTCATTGGATCAGATAAAAGCAGGACTGCTGGAATCGGTTGAGGTCAACTTCCCATGACATAAACCCCTGCTTGACAACCGCTTTAAGAAACTGTCGCCATTCATGTACACAGCCCTGTGGATGAATGAACGACCTAGCGAGGCCAGTAGCGCCACCTAGTGAGATATAATGGAAGAAGACCAACAGAGAGTTGAATCTTGACATACTCCGGTGCCATCTGCAGAACCTTGGTTAGAAATGGCACAGTGATTTATGAGAGTTTATGAGTGAGTCGGATTTTACGCCGCCTTAGCAATATTCCAGCAATATCACGGCTGGGGATTCCCACATTGTGCCTCTGATATGCACAGAATCGAACCTTGACTTTCGGCACGAGGAGCGAACGCTTTTACTACCAGGCAACGCCAGGGGCCTTGATCATATGATCAACTATATGTGTGTTTCATTTTTCAAATGTTAAAGTTTGCAATCACAGATAATGTTTATCACCACTGTAAAATGCAAGGATATCAGCATATCATCACCATCACCATCACCATCACTATCACCATCATTATGGTCGACACCATCATTATCATCACCACCACCATCATTATCATCACCACCACAATCATTATCAGCATCGCCATTGGTATCGTTATCACAGGTACATACGGTACTCCACACAGCGAAGGGCATCAGGGGTTATTTCAATATCTATAATAGCTGTGTGTCAGTATATCTAGTTTCTGTCAGTGCAGAAAAATACCAAGTCGGGCATCAGCTGATTTTCTTACGTCCCTGACACACAAAGACCTCTTGACATGATGTAACTTACCAGGGAGAGGGGATAGTCGGATTGCAGACACGAGGTGGATGTCGTCCAAATAGATCATGCTTTCGGTCTAGGAAACTATTCAATACTGCTGTACAGTATCAAATATATTAGAACAGTAAAAAAAATAACGACACCAATTCTCAAACTGTTTAAAATTATATTCACAGGATATATATACACAACCGGGCAAAAGAAAATGCCTGCCATTCTAATATCAGTCCTGTGTACAGTGAAATTGCGACTCCCGTGTTCCTTAAGACGTCATGTTGTGAGACACTCATTGATATGATGCATGTAGTATCGCCTAAGATACCCGAAGCAAATATATCTTCATCGAATAACCATTTCTTGTTTGTTTCATTTTTAACCACCATCAAACATGGGTGTATACTTACTTTTGCCCGGCAGTTTACACAAATTACAATAACTTCCCAATCGTTCGATCACTGAGACGATTGGAACATGGTGGTCGTCATTACAAATTGCACAGTGAGGTGAGGTGAAATGGGGTTTACCGTCGCGTCCACGATTATTGCACTTATATAGCGATGTGCATGCACGTGTGTGTGTGTGTTTGGCCACAGCAAGGATACGTATTCACAACTTATTTTGGTAGGCACAGTATAACTCATGATTTTGGATTGAGGAGGGCCGTATTCATTCTTGTGGGTCACCTGCTTGGCAGTATGGGACGGGAAAACTGCAGTGGGTGAGGGCAGTTAAGTTGATGGTTCAGACAGATAACAGAGATCATTTTACAAATGTGAAACCTCATTCCACAAAGGAAGAGGCGAAATCTGAAACTTGGTGAGATTAACAGAACAAAGGCAGTTATTTCTAGTTTCTTACTGACTCTCGAGGTGATCTTCTTAAGGTAGAGAATGCCGCGCATGAATGTATCAATTCAGGAATATCCACACAGAGGAGACTTAAATGGGGATCGGGTGAATATAATTTGGTACCTGGTAGATTGTGTGTCTTCAAACCGGACAACTTTGGTCTTCGACTGATTGTGGCGTGAAACAACACACTTATTCATTTACTTGTATCGGAAATTGAATGTTCATCTTAATTGTCATTGATGAACACGTAATATATTTTTAAAGAAATAAAACAGTGACATAATAACTACAACTTTATGTAAGTACGAGTAGCTCTATTGGAGATGAGATGAATAAGTGTTATAAAGCTTCTTCACCTAAAATATCACACGATTTCACTTGTCCACCATCTTGGATGCAAGGCTAAAACATTTCAGCGCGTTTGAAGCTACTTATGCCCCCTGCAGAGTTGGAGGAACATTCTGTGGTAGCGCGGCGGTGTTGACCAGAGGCTATCAGCAGTATTTCCTGTCCAGGTTATTTAGGTCCATTGTGTGTCTGTGTGTCTGTGTGTGTGCGCGTGCGTGCGTGCGTGCGTGCGTGCGTGCGTGCGTGTATGTATGTTTGTGAGGGGGGAGCGTGGGGGTGAGAGTGGGGGGATAGATGATGGATTTAACAACAAGTAAGGTCATCTTGAGCGAGACGGTTTTCGTAGATGGATTAGCATATGAACTATGATTCTCTTTAGGTAGAAAATAAAGATCCACGATGTTCGACCTGGTAGAAGTGTGTAATCAAACCGCACAGCATTGGTCTTTGATTGACTGTGGCGTCAAAACAAACTCATTCATGTACTTGATCTGAATGTTCATCTTAATTGTTATTGATAGTCACGGAGCCGTGATCCAGAGAACAGGATGTCATTAGATAAAAAATGAAGTATTAATAGGATTACCAGAAAAACGGGGTATAACACCCAAGCCAATAAGCTTCGCTCAGGAAAACCAGAGTAAGTCAGTACAAGATTGAAATCTGCCCCATAAGTACGTATGACAGGCTAGTCGGGCATTGCTACTTGTATATGTAAAAACAAAGTTATTAACATTAATAGCAAAACTGATGAAAGTCACCAAAAAACGTGTATAAGTGTTATATCATCACTGCAGAAATAATGAGTGTTTGTCTTTAGTATTAACATTCAAATACGTGATATCTGTATTAGCGATATTGTCTACGTTCCACCTGTGAGTAAGCGTTAGGCTTACTATCTCGTAGTATAAATGTTGCAAGAAATTGTATTTCTGAAGACATCACGATACAGTTTTCACGATGCATCACGTCTGCGCTAGCGCTTAACCAGCCTTGTGTTTGGGTGTTTCAGTAGTTTAAATTGCTGCTCTTGATATTGTTCATTAAACTTTGATACGATGAACAATACAAGGTTATATGAGAGTATGACTTTACAACGGTAACATGCGTTAATGTATATCTGATATATATATAAATGATGACATAAATAGAACAATGAGTAGTACGTCCAGATTAGTGTATAGACAACATCTGATAATTAAATTGAACAACAATCCTTTTAAGTCTTTTTTCCTGGCTTAAAAGTAAATGAAAGAACACAATCGTCCGGAATACAATGTATAATTCTGGTGCACTTCCATGTGACTATATAGCATACAATAAGCTTTCGGGTCCCGTTGGATCGGTTTTGGTGACAGCTTAGATATCCATAGAATAGGTTCATCTCGGATTCTCCCATATAACCGGGGCTCCTCTTCAATTTAAATGGAGTTACTTGTTTCTTTCAAAACTTTACAGTTTTAGAGACTAAGCATTAGTCTGAATAGACATCACCAGTTTGGAATTTGAAACTAATCAGTAACAGGACACTGCTTAAGTGCCATGTACAAATGAGAAAGTGGAATCCCGTCAATTAAGCGGACAAACCTTAAAACTATTTATAAACATTAAAATAAGCAATATCGGAAACATGTATATGCATATAATATCTGGCAATATACACCAAGATCACCTTCTACAAAAATAAGTTTTAAAAGCCGGTTGATATTCGTTTGTGTATTTGACGATTATATAACTTTCGAAAGTATAAATCCTTTTCCTATACTCAGACGTTCCTGAGCCTTGCGCTTATTACCGTTATCAATGTATTAGTTAATGGGAAATGTGTGTCGATCAAGTACGTGCCATAAATTGTACGATTCCGAACTTATCACGAGACTGTAATGAATCATTGTCAAATAGTGGTGACATAGTGGAAACAATACGCGAAATCGCGCATGCACAGAACGGAAAATTTGGACAAGGCATTAAGCAATCCGCATGCGCAGAACGATTGACTTCAGCACTTCCGCAAAGCGCTTCGAGTACAGCGTCAAACTCGGGCCTGTAATCTAACATGTTAGAACTGACCAATGAAATCTGAGAAGTAGGAATACCGGTAGACGCTGTTGCTTGATTGACAATGTCAATCAAAAAAGGGAAGAGCTGGATGATATCGTTCTCTCCCAGTAAATTCCGATGTCAAATAACGACGTTATTTGGACGGGAAAACGATGGTTTGAAAGAGCCCAAATAACGTCGTTTTTTCGTCCAATGACCATATACGGAAAAAAACGACGTTTTCGTGTTTGCAGTGTCAGTTAACTCGCTTGCCTCGGGAAGATGGCAACGGATGAATATGACCTTTACTTCCAGGGATACAAAACCACAACTCTATGAAAATATCGAATCAAACAAACCCGAGCCCGTGTATATGGTTGACAATTACATCAAAGCTCAAAGTCTTTCGACTTCCCTCTTACCACAGTGATCTGAATTCAATACGGTTGATATGTGGTATCATTAATGAGTGAGTGAGTGAGTTATGTTTAACGCCGCTTTTAACAGTATTCCACTTATATCGCGGCGTGTCAGCTTAATGTGGGAGGAGAGCCCGAAGTGATGCAGGTCTCAGACGTTTACCACTTCGGTGAAACCCACGAGCACGGGTATGGTGCTGACAAACCTAGAAACAATAATCGGGGCGAACCGGGATTCGAACCCACAATCATAGGTTTCTGGCCTGTCCACGGGACGCAACTCTGCAGAGCGAATCGCGGCGCCTTAGACTACTGTGCCATCCGTGCCCCCTGCTATCATCAAAGGTGACGCTGGATTTTGAAAAGCTAGTAAAAAAATCCCTTGTTTGGGTGACAATGGAGACATGCGTTACCAAAGTCGTCAACGAGATAGAGTTAAGATACTGGTCACGTGATGGACTTCAGCAAGTAACAGTCTCAGTCCGAGAGTACGGGGGCCCATACCCGCCACTGGTGAGATCATTTTTCACTGTGTGCCTCTATATTTTACGTGGCGGCCGCCACATACTTCCTCTGGTGAGATTATTTTCAACTGTATATCTCTATATTTTACCAGGCGGCCGCCAGATACTTCCTCTGGTGAGATTATTTTTCACTGTGTGCCTCTATATTTTATCTGGCGGCCGCCTGATACTTCTACTGGTGAGATCATTTTTCACTGTATGCCTCTGTATTTTATCTGGCGGCCGCCTGATACTTCTACTGGTGAGATCATTTTTCACTGTATGCCTCTGTATTTTATCTGGCGGCCGCCAGATACTATTTACGACGTAGCACCCAATCAGCACTACTAATTCTCTGCTAATGGCTCATCAAGCAGGTCATACCTACTTTGAAACGAAAAGTGTCTGGCGAAACATAGAGGCATACAGTGAAAAACGATCTCACCAGTGGAAGTATCTGGCGGCACGACACGTTATGCTGTCATTCCCTTAGACTGGTTCCCGTTCGTTCCTGCGACAGACTGGGACAGACTGGAATGAGTAAAACAACCTTCACCTTGACGTTACGGTAAACTGGTTTAGTGCTTTTGCTGGTTAAATAGACAGAAACATAGTCAAGACAAGATGGCGACTAATGTGTCGTCTGTCAACAGTGACATAGAAATTGCAAATATTTGGGATCGGGCGAATAGGTACCATTCTTGTATTTTTTTTCCAATTAAAGGCTAAACAACGTGATCAGATCAGATCAGTCACATTATTGTTGATTGGGCGCATTGTGTCATATCATAGGGGAAATCTAACTTTCCACCGGCCTTTCTCAAAGTAGGGGATTTACGTGCAATCCTCCCACAGGCCCGCATGCTGGCTTTAACAGATACAGCTACCATTAAAGCCAGCATGAAATTCAGAAATTCAGACGGTTGAAGGTTGGTTTTTTTATATTTTTGATGCCATGTCATTAAGTTGTTACACCACCTTTTGAAACTTGTTTTGTGTCTTGAATAGACATGTATGTGTATGTAATTTACAAGAATGAAGGCTATATACTGGTACAATGTTTTAAAAATATTTATGATTTCGAAGTTGCAAAGTTTGACTGCAGATGTACTTGTCTTCCATCCGTTTGTATTATCATACCCTTATTATAGAACAACATGAATCCATAACGAGCATAATTCATGTGAAAAGTTGTTTTATTCAATGTTTGAAATTACATCTTCTAGTCTAGGACTACTGACATTTCCTTGTGGACTACCACTTCATCCAAGGTGGATGGTAACTCTGAAGCAGAATATTTGTAGACTAGTGAAAATACCCCAATTATTTGCAATCAAAATAAATTTATAAACAAAACAGTATACACCAGTAAGGTATCGATACACTTTGTTGATACCCAGTTTATGAAAACTTGACATGTTTCGGAAACATTTCCCTAATCAAAAGAAATCTATTTAATTGTATCCCAACTAACATTTAGTACATTGAGCCATTTGATAACACTGATGTAGACATGGAGATCTAAGATTAAGTATAGCCATGAACTTGTATAATTTGTATATAGGTCTGTGGTATAGCATACAATGCAGCAACCTATAATCTAAAGGGCATCCACATTACTTACAAGGGTCAAAAATGATAATACCTCCCAAAGGGGTTATAGATTATTTGTTATTACCAGACTTTCTGCACATGGTTGACAACTGGACAAAAATGATGTTTTCTATGTACAATGTAGTTCAATAGTTTCACACATACATACATATGAATTTAATAATACTCTTCACATTCTTAATGGTATTGGAAATGTGAAGTAAATCCAAAGTAGTAGTACTAGTACAGTATACTGTCATCTCAAGAAGAAAATTAACACCACAACAATTGCACTCAGAAATCTTTCAATATATTTTCGAATACACTCTACAACATTTACAATCTACAGTATGGTTTGATAAGCTAAGGCAATTCATGTAGCGAATAATCATGACGTGACAAATCCCAAATTTGAACAGTTACCATTCATCTCATCAACTCTTAAAATATGTGATAATAATCACATTTATTAGTGAAATCATAGAAAAAATTGTTTACGTTTCTCATTCTCCATTCACCAATGTTTAGAAAACATATTGATCTTAAATGCCAAGTTTAGTATGACAAATGGAAACGTACAAACAATTTACAAACAGTCTTTTCGTTTGAGAAATGGTAACATAAACTCAATATCCTGATTTTGTTTCAAAGTAAAGTTGAATTTTGTATCATTGCTTATGTCTGTATGTTTACACTAGTGATCATCAATCAACATTATCACTAAAAACAATTGTGAAAGTGAAATTCTAATCACAGAATAGGTGTGTTTTTGCCACGGAATACATCTAGGATTGATATTAGTTACAAGAATAAATAGTTATATCACTGAAATATCTTTCTTCGATACTGCAAAAGACAACAGTACAATATATTCATAGAATAAATATCACACAATCCAATTTGAATGGCCCAAGATATATGGTGAAAATATACAACCAGTGAACATTAACCTCATTAACAAACATTAGCAAATTGATAACCCATCTCAGCTTTTTCCTGAACGTGTGAAAGTATCCATGCCAAATGGCAAAGACATTTCTTATTGCGATAATTGAGTATTTATTCATTTTGTTGTACATGAAAACCAGTTTGACCAGAGGAGTCAAAGATAGTCTTGCAGGAACATTTCTGGATTGGTGTGTAAGAAATTCTTCCAATTGACTCGTTATTTTTTTCTGCCTTTTAATCTCTTTCTTTGATAGGATTTGGGTTCGCGTTTGATTTGAGTAGTTATGCTCAAGCATAATTGAACAAAAGTCAACTGGTGAAGCTGGTTCACCGACTGTAAGTGGTTGCGAGTAGTTCGGGCACCAAAGGAGAAGTGGCATCAGTTGACGGTATGTCAGAGACATGGCAGGTCTGTGAGCGTATAGCAGGTGCGGCTGGTTCACTGACTGATACATTTGATAACATAGATCTAATTAAGGAATGCGAATGAATGGTATAAAGTGCCTGACTGCTACATGCCCAGGTCACGTCAATCATAGGCCCAAAAGTTACATCAGTCTGTACACCCTTTTCTCTGGTCTTCGGCACAGTCCTTCCATTCTTTGTACTTAATGTTTTCCACCCTCCTGCTCTCCACAAACTGTGTCAAAAATTTCTCCTCATCCCTAGTCCATCTCCCATTATGGCATGGTTCCTGCAAAATAATATATATTCCTTTTTTTTCAAATATTCTAAATTTAGGCAAATGGTGCAACATCAGTATGTTTCATACAAAATTTGTGGCAACGGCTTAAAACGAAACTTGTCAGGATGGGCAATACTGTTTGCTTTGTCTTTATCTTTACAACCTAAACTTTGTATCAATGATTATGTTTCGGTACGGTCAGTCATGACTTCATTCTTATGCAAGTTCCTACAAACAAACATGTATGTGTATGCAGTTTGAATACAACTAATAATTACATGGTAATGAATTATTTACAAAACCAAAATGACACACAATCACAATCTGGACTGAGTGACTGAAATAATGCATTATAACGACGATGAACCTGATACCCCTCAGTCTAGCTTCGGCCATCGGAGTGTGCAGCTCCAGCAAGTTTTTTAATACTTCAGTATCTAGATGATGTTTATCAATTGATCTCATTAATAATATGAACTCTTTGACGGAATTGTGAGATAAGTATACTCAGGATCTAGTTTACCAACGAAATGAGGATACAAGATCATTATGGGACCATATAAAAAGCACAGTTCAAACGATTCCCGTTTCGTAATTATTGCCACCATAAAGTATTTGCAGCTAAATATTTACTTTTCCTTTGATTTAGGATTTTGGGGTTTGGTCATTCATCTTATGTTAACATTTTCTTAATATATTGTATCAGTATTCAATCTCTGGGGACTCCAGACAAAAAAATACGTCTCGAGCAGTCGAGCAAATGATTAAATATTAATAAATAAAAATAAATATTACAATAAACTTAATTTTGTTGAACTTCATGATAATCTGGGGGCACGGGTGGCCAAGTCGTCTAAGGCGCTGCGATTCGCTGTGCAGAGTTGCGTCCCTTGGACACGCCAGAAACCTATGATTGTGGGTTCGAATCCCCGTTCGCCCCAATTATGTTTCTAGGTTTGTCAGCACTATACCCGTGCTCGTGGGTTTCACCAAAGTGGTAAACGTCTAAGACCTGCATTACTTCGGGCTTTCCTCCCACATAAAGCTGACACGCCGTGATATAACTGGAATACTGTTGAAAGCGGCGTTAAACCCAACTCACTCACTCACTCACTCATGATAATCTGTTCAGAAGGTAATTTCATAAGAGATTCATCGTCCTCCATTTAAAACCAAAAAAAAACTGCCGTGTCAATATTTGCACGAAATAAGTCAAAGAATACATTGACATCCCATATCCGTTATGTTGGTACCAATACTCGCCTCTATTACTGCGAAAACTACAATTTTCCAGAGCTTACTAGCTTCGCCCAATGCGTTTTGACAGCCGCCATCTTGTTGTAGCAGACGATGTTTCATGGTGGGCGATACCGGTCCTTTCATTGGAAAGCGGGGCAAGAGCAGCGATACTAAGCGGAGGATCCGGGAACCAGTCTATCATTCCCTGTACTGTTTGCGCAGTTCCTCCTCCCGTTGTGCCCCTCTCCGTTCAAGGTGAAGTGAGGTGAAATTGGGTTTAACGTTGCGTCCAAGATTATTGCACTTATATGTACATATATGTGTGTGCGTGGCTGCTTGTACTAGACCGGACTGATGCCGATTTATAGTGCTAGCCCACTGAGATACCATGCCGCAGTTTAACATGAATACCCCACTCAGACACAGTATACTGACTCCGAGCCGACCAGTCCTGGCTTTAACCCCTTAATGCCGAGTGCCAGACAGGGTAACAAACAAGTACCATCTTTTAACGTCTTTTGGTATGACGCGGCCGGGGATCGAACCCCGGACCTTCCGCTCTCCGGGCGGACGCTCTACCACTAGACCACGGAGGCGGTCCCTCCGCTGGAGATGTCCGTACAAATAACAACATGATGGTTTCGTAAACAACTTTTATAATAAAAAATAAAAACCAGACGATATTGTTGGGTACAGTATGTTCATTGCCCTGTACCGTATTGAGCTATCTCGAGTCTGAGCTATCTCGCAATTCATCGTCCTCATTCGGGGCCAAACGGACTTTGTACAAACGGAGACCATATCGAATAGCTTTGATTATTTTAGAGTCACGATTGGTGTCAAGGTTGTAGACATACAGACAGGGTGGTTTCGACTCACAAGTGAGGACAAGTGTGCGCATGCGGGTTTGCATTTCTTCAGACGCTATCGCCGATTCAAGCTGTAGAGACATATATAACTCACTCGTCGACGTGTAACACACAGGAAACTGTAATTCATATAAACATACTTGCTGCATCAACTACTTACTGTTGAAATGGCACTGATAGGAAAGGTTGCTATCATTACAGGTAAGATTGTTCATTGTATAAGTCGTGTAAGAATCCGCTTTTCATGGGTTCGAATCCCGAACAATCACCCCTGGTATGTCAGACACCAGGTCAACTGCAGTATTTGGGTCCCCACTTCGGGAGTTTCCGTAAGTAAACGCTGCCAAAGGCAGCTTCGTTTATATATAAGCGCGCACGCGCAAGCGAACCGAAATCCGTAAGAAGGCATTTTGAGCAAAAAGGACCAAAAAAATGAGCTGGGCGTGAACAGTATGGTCTAAAATTCCGCCCCTATGGGGGCCGAGCGTTTTACCATAGCAAGTGAAGCCGAATTATCGTGGTGTCGACTTCGTGTTGTTTATGGGCGGGACATAAATGACGTAAGAGGTCACGTATCTGATCTTGTGACTTTCCTTATATGGACTCGTTACTACGAAAGCAACTACGCTCATAACTTTTAAATACATAAACTGTCGCTTGCACAAATAAAACAAAGTCGACTTGGAGAGCAATGAAGACATCTTTGCATAGGTATGGGACGAAAGCGGGAATGTATGACAATTATGTTGTTCAATACATAATCAGAAAAGAAATAGGCGTATTTCAGTTGTTCAACAATCATTTTATTAAATTTCTTAATTCATCAGCCGTGTTTACATTTATTAGAACTTAGAAGCAAAATGATCGTTTAAGAAAATGATGAAAAAGAAGCGGAAATAGAAATTGAACTGGGTCTAGATGGATCCACAGACTTATGACTTATGACAGTCAAGACGAATTCAACGTCTCAAATTATTTGTTTGAATGTGTATCTATCGATAATCATATTCCTATGAAAATCCACATGCGTTCATGAATGATCTTATACCGTAGACTACCGTAGTGCGATTTATTTAAAAACAAGGGGGGTCCGCCCCCCTTCGCCCCCCTCCCTATGGGGGGCATACCCCTCTTGAAACCCCCGTGTGTTCGCTGTGTAGGAAAATACTGAACTGCAGACAGCGTTAAGTAGAAAAAATGGCGGGCTACAAATCCTCTCGCTTCGACCGTAAATAACGAACTGCGTTTGCGTGGAACGTTTTACATTCGACAACTGCCGTAAAAACGCCAAAACGTTCATTCCGGTTTGGGGATCCAAATACTGCAGTTCACCCCAGACACCTGTTGGGAACAACTAATGTCTACAGTAACAAATGCCTGTCGTAACAGACTTAAAGAATCGGGTGGTCAGGCTCGATGACTTGTTTCTTGTATATCGCCGCACATCCAAAACGTAAATTAGAGTTACCGGACCAGAAATCCTAGTGATTGATATTATCAGCAACGCTGTAGAGGTACGATGAAACGCAATCAACTGAGTCACCGAGCCTGGCTACCCAATCCAATTTGTTGCAAGGTTCGACCAGCAAACATGTAGATTTATATGGACAGGATTCCTAGCAGAGAGATTATCCTTTACCGCTGTCTGTGGTACTGCTGCTTCTGCTGCTGTAGTTTCTAGGGATACTGTTGTTGATGTTGTTTGTGGTACTGTTGCTGATGTAGTTTGTGGTGTTGTTGGTGTTGTTTGTGGCGTTGTTGATGTTGTCTGTGGCTCTGCTGCTGATGTAGTTGTAGGGATACTACACCTTTAGAATTCAGCCGTCCGTTCCACAACATGATCGTAGCTAAGGTGATCACAACTCACATACTTTAACTTAGACAAACGACTGTCATTGTGCTACAATGCGACCGCCTTGTTGAACGATGAACGAGACCTTGCCCCTCAATGTTTACAATCACGTCATAATAACCGATGACATGATTTGCGAAATACGTTGCAAGATCCTTCGGCGGTGTGACGTCAACCTAGCAACAAAGTTGCTGGGTCTTCGACTGTGTATAAGCTCGTCTCAGTGATCTATCATCTCCACACCCAATCAACACACACCCTGCACACCCTCCTCCTCCTCCCGCCTTTCTGCCTTCCCGCCTTCCCGCCCCCGCCATCTTGGATGGGGAGATGGCCCCTCGGAAACCGGACGTGACGTAGAACCCCCTTCTGAGTGACGTCATCGAACCGGACGTCACGTCCTCTTGGAGGCGAACGCCACCCCGGAACCGGAAGTGACGCCATCTTGGAGGCACCCGGAACCGGAAGTGTCGCCATCTTGGATGCGCGCGCATTACCAACAATGCCCTCTTCGGCATGCACAGAGTCCATTTCCGGTTCAATAGTCAGGTACCCAACTACTCTTATGTTGTTTGTGGTGCTGCCGATGTTTGTATGATGTTGATGTTGTGTGGGGGCAAGTGATGTTTTTTTACGGTGCTGCTGATATTTTTTTGGTTGTTGCTTATATTTGTGCGCACACACACACACACACACACACACACACACACACACACACACACACACACACAAAGTGTGGGATATAAAATTCGGATACATCAGTCACATTTGTATACAAAATATAATTCTATGTATGTTTGACTTCCAGGTTCCAGTTCAGGAATTGGGGCAGGAATTGCAGAAGTGTTTGCAAAAGAAGGAGCCAAACTGTCTTTAACAGGCAGGAACCAGAAGAATTTGGAGGAAGTGGCCAAGAACTGCAAGACTGAATCTTCTGATGTAAGTAAAAAACAATAGAGAAAGCTAGAGCTGCGTATTCTGTCACCATTCTGTACATACACTCTTAAAAAAATAGAAATGCACAGGTAGTATGTCGTTCATTGAACGTGACTTCACACAAAAATCCGGTATATAAATTGGACATATGTTATTGTAAATACTACCATGAATTTGGTATTTACTCGATTCTGATTGGTCAATCAGAGGCTATTAAATCAGACACCCTCTGTTTGAAACAGCTGGTTTGACGGCCGCATCACCGTGGAATTTATATTCATAGATTTGTGCTATTTTCAGTCATTGTCGGTAGACATATTTAAATAATTAAATATCTACAATAACAGGTTTCAAAATGCACAGATGCGGTTACTACAATATTCAAAGGATGTGTGGCAATACATTTCGTGCAGAAAACACGATAGAAATCTAAAAAGGGAATGTATTTACGTTTTGGAGACAACAGAGAGTTTGGAATTTTGGCGCTGTTCTTTATACGTGTGTGACGTCATATCTTTGCGTCACAATGAGCGATATGACGTCATAATGGTGACGTGTGATGTAGAGTCCAAAGCACTATTTGCCGCCTTTGAGACCAATACACACAGTTCAATTCAACTGCAGCCCGCGAAGATCCGGGGGAGAATAGTTCTTCAGCAAACCATGCTTACCGTAAAAGGCGACTATGCTTGTCGTAAGAGGCGACTAACGGGATCGGGTGGTCAGGCTCGCTGACTTGCTTGACGCATGTCATCGATCCCAATTGCGTGCATCGAGTCTCTTGATATCATTCACTGTATTGTCTGGTCCAGACACGATTATTTACAGACCGCCGTCATATAGCTGGAATATTGCTTAGTGCCGCGTAAAAAGAAAAACCAACCAAACCAACCAACCAACCGTCCGAGAACCGGTCGACCAAGAGTTACCACCCCTGCACAGGACTGTTCCACCTGCGCCATCGAAATCCTGGTTTGAGGAGGATATCGGATCAGACCGTCAGGAACCATCTTCGCGAGGCTGGAATCCGACCCAGAGGGCCAGTTATCGTCCCTGTTTTGCAACAGATACATCAACAGCGACGCTTGCGTTGGTGACATACCTTAAACTCACAGCCTTGGAATTTGAGAAACTGGAAACGAGTGTGGTTAAGAGAGGAATGAATGAATGAATTCTTCTTTACGGGGGAGATGGAAGACGACGTGTTTATCATTGTGTACATGAATTCAAAAAAGATTCTGTGGCGATAGTGTCATGGTGTGGGGAACCACATCCTACACCACGAGATCTGACTTGGTTGTGATTCAGGGAAATTTGACAACAAATCGTGACATGAATCAAATGATTCCAATCATTGACCGCCATAGGGAGCTGTTTCAACAGTACAACGCTCCACCGCACACAGCTTATGTCACGGTATACTACCTTCATAATGCCAACATCAACGGCTTGCCCTGGCTGTTGATCGACCTAATCGAACACCTCTGGGATGAACTCGATCAACATGTACGTCAACGTCAGAACACGCCACAGACACTGCAACAACTTGCCAACGCATTATAAGCAGAACGGCGCAGAATTCCACAGGACAGAAGTCGTACACTTATCCAGTCGGTGCCGAGGAGATGCAGACCCGTGATTGCTGTCCGGGGCAGTCACACGAGATACTGAGTTCAGCACCACCTTGTGGCCTTATGTGACATGTGACTATCGAGCTCCAAAATTTATATTTGTATCTATGATATTAAATTAAATATATCGACTATATTAGGTACAATAAATTTCCTAAAAATCTGCGTGTGTGTTTCTTTTTTTAAACAAGGCATCATCATCGCGATTCACTTAGGCATCGCGAGTAGTGTCCTTTAGACGTGCCAGATGCCTTTTTAGACAACATGGTACAGTTTCCAATTATATTTTTCCAATATTTTAGTTTATTTTTCAAACAAGTAAAGTTTGGTTTTCAATAGTGATGTACATGTATGGAATCAAGTCACAAAAACGCAACTGCTACAGAAAAGCATGCATTCCATGCAAAAGATGACTTTTATGCAAGCCCCATGCATTTCATGATCACTACCCAAGAATGGGTATAAAAACATGTGCGTTAACGGGATTCCATATGCATTGTTTAGCATCGTGCTGAGAACAACCACTCAGAAAAACAACAAAATTACGCAATTATTCAACATTGCGAAATGACACGTCTGTGCGAGCGTCTGCGAGCCATTGCTATGCTTGAAGCAGGATCGAGTCAACGTGATGTTGCAAGATAATTTAACATCCACAGAAACACCATTTGGTGTTAATGAAACGTTGGCAACAGACGAATGCAGTCAGAGACCATCCTCGGGGTGGCAGGCCACGCGTAACCAATAATTGACAAGACAACATGTGACTATTGAGCTCGAAAATTTATATTTGTATCTATGATATTAAATTAAATATATCGACTAAATTAGGTACAATAAATTTACTAAAAATCGAACAACACACCTACGAAATCGATTCCAGTCAGCAACAGCGACTGCAAGAAGCATCCCCGGCCTTCGACAAATATCTTCACAAACAGTACGTGCAGGGATTGTCGCCAGAAGAAAACCACCGTCAAGCACGTCTACAGTGGTGCAGACAGCCTCTACGGATTCGAGTGTACCGACGTCGAGGTGAACGTTACGTGAATCATTGTGTCATGGAAGAAGATCTGTTCGGGGGCGGCAGCGTTATGGTATGGGACGGGATTACAGAAAGACAGAGGACCCGTTTGATAGTGGTAGAGGGAAATGTCAATGGACAGCACTACCGCGACGAGATCATCGGCCCTGTTGTTCTACCGTTTTTGCGTCATCATATCCCAGGCATCACCTTTCAACATGTCAGCCTTATATACGGGCTCGACTTGTTCAGGATTCTCTTCAACAAAACAACGTGAATGTCATCCCCTGGCCGGCTCGCTCCCCTGATCTCTCACCAATCGAGCACATGTGGGATGAGATGGATCGGCGCCTTCGACGTCAACCACAGACACTCCAGGAACTTCGAAACATGTTCCAGCAGATATGGACAGATATCCCACAGGACTTTCTGCGATGCCTGGTCCATTCCATGAGACGAAGATGTGTTGCTTGCATCGCAAAACAGAGGTGGACACACACGCTATTGATTTGTAAATTGACATTTGGCATGTTTATGGTTGTTTTTTTTATGAAATCACGCATTGTCTGTATGGCAAATTAAACCATTTGAACACTTACAGGTATCTGCTGCAAACAGAAATTGTTTCAGATTTGGTAAAAAACATAACTTGACATTAAATCTTATTTAATGTCACAGGAACTTTTGTTGTTCAGTATATTTACTCAATGGCAAAGCCGGGAAATTCACATCACATCAAAACAACTATTTAACAACGTGATTCTATTTCAGGATGTTCTCATAAACGTGGGTGACGTCACGGATGCTGCTTTCAGGAAGACTCTCGTGGAGACAACCAAGAAGAAGTTCGGGAAAATAGACATACTGGTGGGTATACTTCAACTACCAATGAAAGGGGTTGAAAGTTCGAATTCATGTAAAGCTGTACGACCCTTACCATCATCATACAGTGGCCCGCTCATCTGTGATAACATGCGGGAGATTTAATGATGACTCTATCCCTTTTAGCTATAATGCGAAGTAACCCCGACGCAAAAGGGAATATACGATCCACACCATGGGGATACGATGAGACGCAAGCGTCTGTGTCACCGAGCCATACTACTCGATCAATTAAGTCGCCTCTTGGGACAAGCACAGATTGCTGGGGAACAATTCTATCCCAGAATACCCATGAGGTGCTTCTGTAGATAGGGTCTTTAAAGGATGATTTTGTAACATATGTTTTGGAAACTTTTTGACAAATCTTAACAGCTTGAGAGAAGAATTGAAAAAAGCCATCACCTGGAGATTCTGAGTTAGAATATTAGGCTCCCAGATGTATCATGGCTGTCATGTTGCGGTGTAAGTTGGATTTAACGCCATTTGAGTAAATATTTTGGAAATATCGGGATGGGCTACACCAGATTTAGGCTTCACACATTATATCTATGTGGGGGAATCCAACCTTGTCTTCGAGACCAGTGAAGATCCGGTTTAGGTCTTCAGCAACCCATGCTTGCCTTAAAAGGCGACTATGCTGGTCGTAAGAGGCGACTAATGGGATAGGGTGGTCAGGCTCGCTGACTTGGTTGATGCATGTCATCGATCCATGCTCATGATGTCAATCACTGAATTGTCTGGTCCAGACTATTATTTACAGACCGCCGTCATATAGCTGGAATATTGCTGAGTTCGGCGTTACCAACCAACAACCAACCTTGTCTTCGGTGTAACGAGCGAACGCATCAACCATTAGGCTACACCATGGTCGTAGGAGTCGACTAAAGAGATCGGAAGGTCATTGTAATATCTTGATAAGTATTATATTACCCGATGTACCCTAGAACTATGTACTGTAAGAGTAACGCGTATGAATACCTCACGTGCCTGTGAAGATAGTCCGCACGTGCGGTCACTCGGCTATGACATATTGATGTGGCTGGCGAAATAAAAATCTCTCCCCGACGCCTCTGATATTGTCTCTAGTCTGAGGGCTAGGTTATAACAGTCATTTAGTAGTAGAAGGCTGTCGTAATACTTGGGCGGCATGGATCGTTGCTGATGTTATCAATCACTAGAATGTCTGGACTCGATTGGGGGCACGGGTGGCCCAGTCTTCTAAGGCGCCGCGATTCGCTGTGCGGAGTTGCGTCCCTTGGGCACGCCAGAAACCTATGATTGTGGGTTCGAATCCCGGTTCGCCCCAATTATGTTTCTAGGTTTGTCAGCACCATACCCGTGCTCGTGGGTTTCACCAAAGTGGTAAACGTCTGAGACCTCCATCACTTCGGGCTTTCCTCCCACATTAAGCTGACACGCCGTGATATAACTGGAATACTGTTAAAAGCGGCGTTAAACCCAACTCACTCTGGACTCGATTATTTACAGGCAGTCGTCATATTACTGGTTGCAGAGTGTGGCCTGAGTCAAGAACACTAACAAAAAAGCTGCACCGTATATCTGTGTTTAGGTAAATAATGCTGGGATCGCACTGCAAAACACGCTGATATCAACGACGAAAGAGCAGTACGACAAAATGATGGCTGTGAACGTGGAGGCGCCTGTGTTTCTGACACAGTTGGTCGCCCCGTACTTGATTGAAACTAAAGGTACTCTCTTGTGAGTGAATGTGACTTTATGCCTGAAACTATTTTTAGAATCAATGTATGGAAACCAATTATACTAAGATGGATTCACAAAAACAAGTGTTCACTGGACAATATGCTTTTCAGAGAAAACATTGTATGTATTGAAGAAGTTATCAAAACTTAATAGTCCTTAAGAAACTTTATAATTATTATAGTTGTTCTAACTTTGTGGCTGTACTATTGCCGAAAAGATGTAAACTGGAAACACATAATATGTTCAGGTTTTCTTCGATAAGACTTATAGTCAGTAGATGTTGCTATAGTTTCAGGGCTAAACAAATGTTTTTTTGCTGCAGGGTGTGTGGTCAATAATTCGAGTTGCATCACAAGTACAATTGTGAGTAAACCCCATCCTGTAAAACTGCACTTCTTTAAACCACCCGTGGTCATCCTAGTGCAGAATCGGCCAAACGTATCACATGCAAAGCACAATTCAGTTTGGATGTCCAAAATGACTGTTCAGCGAGTAAAGGGAGTATTTGTGTTGGCAATTTAAGTTTCCTTCCTTTTCATGTGAAAGATAATGAAGACAAAAGGAGGAAATGTTTTCCTGCGTATCTCCTTTGTTGTGCCTCCTTCGGCAGATGTCCCCGTGAAGATTCCGGGGTAGAATAGGTCTTCAGTAACCCATGCTTGCCGTAAAAGGCGACTATCCTTGTCGTAAGAGGCGACTTACGGGATCGGGTGGTCAGGCTCGCTGACTTGGTTGATGCATGTCATTGATCCCAATTGTGTGTGGATCGATGCTCATGATATCAATCACTGGATTGTCTGGTCCAGACTCGATTATTTATAGACCTCCGTCATATAGCTGGAATATTGCTGAGTGCGGCGTTAAACAACAAACCAAACCGGCAGATGACTTGGTTCGACATTTGTGTCCATTGTATACCTCATTTATTATCATCAACACTAAATATACAGATAAGAATAGAATGTGTTGAAAATGGTAGTCAGTGAGCGCTTTTGTGATATTTGAACAGTAGCAAGTATCAGACCCAATCTCATTAAAATCAAATCAAGTTCTCGCTACCGCTAAACAAAGATCTGAGGACACCGTATTATGGGTCACGTCAGACCGACCTTTCGCGAACTTTGATCGACCAATGGAATTAGCCAATCAGAAAGCAGCTTTCTCGTGCTTTACGGCACTAATGTCTACTTGGCGACTTCGCTTCGAAACATATTTTGTCAAATTCTCTATTAAAAAATTGAAACCTGAACAAAAGAACATTCTGGGATGGCTAATAGAAGGTCTAGCTCGTATGGATTCAGTCGTAAAGCCCGTAACTATTGTTCGGAATACACCGTGTTAAGGTTTTCGAGGTTGACTGATCAGGAATCACATTCCGACTGTCACTTTCATGAACTGGTAAGCGACGCTCTGATTGGTCGGATAAAAGGTCGTTCTGACGTGACCCCTAATGGGATGTCCTGAGATCTTTGTTAAGCGGTAGCGAGAACTTAGATCTGATTTTAATGAGATTGGTATCAGACCCAAGCTGATTTTCCCAGGGAATTTAAAACAATTATATTGCGTCACCGACATGCCCACAGTTACAAAAAGGCGCTTAACATACCTCGACCTCGGTATCTATATTACATAAAGCGATGGGACACCTTCATTTATTTTTTCATATATCAGGCAAAGACATTTGAAATTATTATCAGTCTTCCCTCCTGTGCAGATGCCGAATGTAGGTGTCTACGGCATGACAAAGGCGGCCTTGGACATGCATACAAGAATTCTTGCTCATGGTTAGTATAAAAAACCTTTTGTGCGCCCTTTTCACAATCAAACAGCCCGCTCCATATATAAATACATATAGAGAAATGCCTTACCTCCAACATTTACATATAACTTCCGCATAACGTTTCCTACTGTGAAGCCCAAATCAAGGCAAACGGTAATTATACGGTCTACAGTATACGAATTTTGATTGCAACCGCTACATCAAACCCAATTTCTACCCTTAATATTGCTACATTTCACGATGCTTTGCTTTACTTTCGTACATTTTCTCTCTTGAGACAGAGATATTTGGTAATTAAAAAGACATATGGGCACGTGTGGTCCAGGCATGTGCGGAGCCGCAATTTGCTAAGCAGAGTTGCGTCCCTTAGGTTCGCCAGAAACCTATGCTCGTGGTTTCAAATACCGTTTCGACAAGATAATGTTTTTGGGGTTGTCGTGGCTGAAAAGTTTAAAACCTGCATCAAATTGGACAAGCAGTGATATAATTTGAATTCTATTGAAAGCGGCGTTAAACCCAACTAAGTCACTCGCTAAAAGAAAGGACATACACTTTCATTTGTGGAAAAAGTCCTCCTGACGTTTAGCTTCTTCCCTTTCACATTAAACTGAAACGCTGGTATGACTGAAATATCCAGGCAGCCTGGTTCCCTGGGTATGCTGCGCTGGCGCTACACTGACTCAGGGAATGACTGCACAATGGCCGCACAATGGCCGCCTCTACTAGACGAACCAACAGGGCGGACACGCCATGTATTTACTGTAGAAAAACTCTATTTATTTTTCCAAAATTATTAGATCTATTTATGATTAATTTCATTGTGTAATAAGAAAACAAATACCAGATAAATGGCTTTTCATGTGAATACAATCCAGAGACCAAATGTCAGAACCAATGACAGACCTTATCATTAAATACCATTATTACGGATAAAAAGTGTTTGTTTTTTCTATTTATTATACTGGGTGCTAACTCAGCTAAACCCACCACTTTACAATGGGAGAAAACAGGGCATAATCGGCATTTGCTTCATCAAATTTGCTAAAATAAAGATGCCAACGGTATTTTATTGACGTGGTCGTTTAATACCATGTATTATGTACACGATTTCGTGACAACAGTGAGCTGTCACAAAATATTAACGCACATATCACTGTTGAAAATGGGGTGTGTGTCACAGTTTACATTTCACCGATGTGACGACCACTTTCGAGTCTCGAAACAGCTTAAATAATGTTTTCCTTCACTAAAAGTAACAATGGGCGTTATTCTCGTGACATATACATTGCAAGAGCATTCATGAAAATGCCAAGAAAAAAAATTAACCACCCGTTTTAGAGTTTTTCTATAGTAAATACAGGGCGTGTCCGCCATGTTTGTTCGTCCAGTGGAGGCGGCCATTTTGCAGTCATTGCCTGGGTCAGTGTAGCGCCAGCGCAACATACCCAGGGAACCAGGCTGATATCAAGGTAGCTATAAACAATATCACTCACTCAATGTACACTCTCCAAAAAAAGGAACGCACAGGTAGTTTTTAGTAAATGTATTGTACCTAATAAAGTCGATATATTTATTTTCATATCATAGATACAAATATAAATGTCTTGTACAAAGTCATTGAAAACTATTCATTGACATGTCACATAAGGCCACAAGGTGGCGCTGAACTCAGTATCTCGTGTGACCGCCCCGGGCAGCAATCATGGGTCTGCATCTCCTCGGCACTGACTGGACTAGTGTACCAATTCTGTCTTGCGGAATTCTGCGCCATTCTGCTTGTAACGCGTTGGTCAGTTGTTGCAGTGTCTGCGGCGTGTTCTGACGTTGACGTTCACGTCGATCGAGTTCAACCCAGAGGTGTTCGACTGGGTTTAGATCTGGAGATCTCGACGGTCAGGGCAAGACGTTTGATGTTGGCATTATGAAGGTAGTCTGCCATGACATGAGCTGTGTGCGGTGGAGCGTTGTCCTGTTGAAAACAGCTCCCTCTGGCGGTCAATGATTGGAAGAAGGTGAAGTTGAAGAATTTGATTCATGTAGCGATTTGCTGTCACATTTCCCTGAACTACAACCAAGTCAGATCTCGTGGTGTAAGATATGGCCCCCCACGTCATGACACTACCGCCACCGAAATTGTCGAATTCACGTACACAATGTGGGGCAAAACACTCATTTCGACGACGATAGAAGAAATCGTGATTCATCGCTAAACCACACCCTCATCTAGTTTCTCAAATTCCAAGGCTCGGCATTTTCGAACTTGAAAAATGTTGACAATTGAATGACAAATCATTGGCTTACGCTTGCCTTTTCTTAGCCACTACCACGAGTTACGAATGCCATAACTTGAACGTGCATTTTGCTTTACTGTTGCCATGGCATTTTTGAACAAGTATGAAAACAATGCCGTTTAAGACATTGCAAATCGACAATGGCTGCGTTTTGACGCACCGTTTGTCGAATATAATGCCACCAACATTTTCCAATAACATGTTTCAAATTTATATGGGATCTTTTGTGTAGTCAGGTCCAATGAACTATATTCTACCTGTGCGTTTCTTTTCTTTTTTAAAGTGTATTTTAATATATAGGTAGTAATAGTTCCTCGACACTTCAGAACATTTAAAAGAGGTGCTATACATGGTAATTTACCCCATGAGGATTCCGGGTCAGAATTGGATCCCAACGACCTGTGCCTGTCCCTTAAAGGGCAAGTTCACACGGAAATTAACCTATTTTTCTTGTACTTTTTCCACATTAAAAGTGTTAACCTAGAAGTGTCATAGACAAAAATATAAAAATATCACAATTAACTAACATATTTTTCGCATTAAAACGATTTATATTTTTCACATTTACCAAGTGTTCTATTTCCACAACAAAAACACCATGGATTATGCCCCTTGCAATATGACGTCATTGGTGCCAATTGATAAACATTATGACGTCATCATGCTTTGTTAGAGCCGCTTCACGTGGTGTAGGTCTAGGTGTGTGATTCTAGCGTCTCAGATGCCAGCCAGCATAGTGTTATGCTGAGTCACCACTGCGCCGGAGTGTGTCGTAGGCCATGTTGTTTTACCGCAAACTGGTACTTGATATCTTTTGCGTTGAGAATAGACAGGGACTCAGTTGAATTGGCACCAATAACGTCATAATCTAAGGGGGATAACTCAGGCCTGTTTAGCTCGAAAAACGAAGGCCTCATAACGGCATTTCATTTTCACACTATTGTGAGCTTCCTTCTTTCACTGTGAAAAAAATGAGTGTATAGTTTCAAACACAGATACTAATTAATTCTAAAATTGCGTTTTGTTTAGAAAAAGAAAGAAAGTGATTTTTGCGTGTACACTTCCCCTTTAAGGCTACTGAATGGATCAGTCGGTCCTTGTCATCATATAGAGGAAATATTGCTGAGCAGCCTCCAGCAACAAACAAACAAACACCGTAATTTCTTTCCTCAGAAATGGCATCACATGGGGTACGCGTGAATGCAGTCAAGTAAGTAAACAAAGAAAGGCAATCTTTACATGAAAAGTTATAGTACCTTTGCATGGGCGGATACAGCTTTTTTGAAAAGAGGGGTGCACAATTAAGATCTATTTATTGTCTTTGGTGGTAATTTATTCAGAAATAAAGACTTTTTTCGAAATAAAAAGGGGGTTCGAAATAAAAAGTGGGGGTGCGCACCCCCGCACCCCTCCTCTGTATCCGCCTATGCTTTGAATATGTATATTGTATGTCCGTGCATGTTCGGGGCTTGGATTGTGTTTGATGAGATGGAAAATAAGTATCGATGGGAATGACATTCACTTAAATTTATTTGAGTTTAGTTCATAATGAGATACAATACGCTGAGAATATACAGCATGTTTTCTGTCACCAGTATGTTCATTTGTGGAGATTAAATCAGCTTGCACGGTTAGTGAAAACTTGACACTCCAACTCCGTTCAACATGAAGATCCGGGGTAGAATAGGTCTTTTGTTTGGGATAGAATAGGTCTTCAACAACCCATGCTTGCCGGAAGAGGCGACTATGCTTGTCGTAAGAGGCGACTAACGGGATCGTGTGGTCAGGCTCGCAGTATTGGTTGATGCATGTCATCGTATCCCAATTGCGTAGGTCGATGCACATGATGTCAATCAAGGGATTGTCTGGCCCAGACTCGATTAATTACAGACCGTCTTCATATAGCTGGAATATTGCTGAGTGCGGCGTTAAACAACAAACAAACAAACATTGATGTATTCACTGCGTTCTTTTCATTGTTTCAGCCCAGGCTACATACCCACTAACATAAGTTCTGGGCAAAAATCTGAAGAAGAATCGGCAAAGGTAATTACGTTAACCTACCAAATTTGGCATAGCGTGAGCAACTTCTCACGCCGTTGGGGTACGACACTCAATCAAAATATACTCCACATTCCCTCACTCACTCTGTTTCAGTTCCACAAAGCATTGGTAAATGGAACGCCAATTGGTCGCAGTGGTACGCCAGAGGAAATGGGACACATTGTTGCCTTCTTGGCCTCGGAAAAAGCAGCCTTTGTAACTGGGGAATGTTTCTTGGCCGATGGTGGGTTATCAATGACCACACCAATCCTTACATAAAGAAGAAGTTGAGGGTCCCAGGATCTCCTCCGTCAGCAGATCGTGTACCACAACATGCGATTGTGTACTAGATACACTGACCCACACTAATAGTAAATCTTGGCAAAGATTACTACTTTTCTATATGTAATGACATAGAAAAAAAAAGTGATTCTAATATTTATTTCCAAATCACTGGCTAACAAATTCTGAAATAATCATCAAATATTACTAATATTGATACGATGTATTTGAACCAAACCTGGAACAAAGTGTCCGACCTATTGTTGGATAAATAAACAGAGATGGACATGCTGAAACAGTGTTCTCGACGTTTCTTTGATTAAGGAGTGGAGTACAATCTTGCAGGAAAGGGCGATGGAGAGCGTAGCTTCGATTACTGTAAATTATCATCCGGCCATCGTTTATCACCAGCGTCTTCTTCTTATGTCACTACGGGTTGTAAAATTACTTGAAATAATTAGTTACCTTCGAGGTAAGGGTACTAATATTTATTCAATGGAGTCACCGTTAGTCACGAATGAAGATCCGGGATAGAAATGGTCTTCAGCAACCCATGCTTGTCCTAAAAGGCGACTGCGCTTGTCGTAAGAGCCGACTTACGGGATCGGGTGGTCAGGCTCGCTGACTTGGTTGATGCATCAAAACGAGTGAACGTAAATGAACGTTTTACATGACTTGATCATGGGGCAGGGCCCCACGATTGGTCAAACGTTTGTTAATATGGCGAGGCTAACCCCATGGCTATAAGAGAGTCGTGTCCGTTCCACTTGCTATGCCTTGCCCACTTCCTAACGTACTGGGTGGCCTTTGACACCGGCGTACACGTCTACCGAACTTGTCTCAGACGTGCTTTATGGGGGATGAACACGAGTATGATCGTCTTGAAAGACATGGCATGGTGCGCAAAGGGCACCACTATTAATGCCAGTATGTTGTCTCGGCTTTACTGTCCAGAAACGACATGCAGTGGCGTTCTGGCAGCCTTCGTGATTCCTAACCATATCATTACACACTCACCCCAAATACCGTCAGGCTGACTTATGATGATTTACGTCAGGACGCCCCAGACAGGTCCACGCCTGTCCAGAAAGTAAAAGACGACTATGCTTGTCGTAAGAGGCGACTAACGGGATCGGGGTGGTCAGGCTCGCTGACTTGGTTGATGCGGTGTAGAATAGGTCTTCAGCAACCGATACTTGCCGTAAAAGACGACTATGCTTGTCGTAATAGACGACTAACGGGATCGGGTGGTCAGGCTCGCCAACTTGGTTGAAGCATGTCATCGATCCTAATTGCGTGGACCGATGCTTGATTCGTCGCTGAACCAGGCACCTCTCCATCGCAGTTGAGGCCATACTCTGCGTTGACGACACCAATGCAGGCGTTGTCGTCGTTGTCGTTGTCGACATAATATGATGCGTCCAACAGGACGTCTTGTTCGTAGACCTGCTGCTCTTAAACGGTTTCATACGGTCTGGTCGGAGATTCTGCGCAGTCCGGGTATTTCAAAATTACGAGAAAATAATGGAAGTAACGAGACAAATATCGAAATTTCGAGTTTATGGAATCAACTTAAAATAATGAGAAAATAGTGCAAGTTACGAGAAAAAAATCGAAATTTCGAGAAAATAATTGAAAGTAACGTGAAAATAGTCGAAGTTTCGAGACAAATACTGAGCAAAAAAAATCTAAATTTCGAGAAAGGCATTGAAATAACGACAATTTTTGATTATAAAAAAATAAAAAAATATGGTACCAACGTGGCATCGTTAGGCTTTCGTACTTTCTGGACTAAGTGGGCTAGCACTATAAAATTGGCATTAGTCCTGGCCAGTACAAGCAGCGACACACACACACGCGCGTGCGTGCACGTCGTTTCAATAAGTGCAATAATCTTAAAACGTTAAGGGGCGGTCGGGTAGCCTAGTGGTTAAAGCGTTCGCTCGTCACACCGAAGACCCGGGTTCGATTCCCGACATGGGTACAATGTGTGAAGCCCATTTCTGGTGTCCCCCGCCGTGATATTGCTGGAATATTGCTAAAAGCGGCGTAAAACCATACTCACTCACTCACTCACTTAAAACGTTAAACCCCATTCAGAACACCTTAAGACGCCGCGATTCGCAGTGCAGAGTTTCGTCCCTTGGGCACGCCAGAAACTTATTATTGTGGGTTCGAATCCCGGTTCGCCCCGATTATGTTTCTAGGTTTGACATCACCATACCCGTGCTCGTGGGTTTCACCGAAGTGGTAAACGTTTGATAACTGCGTCACTTCGGGCTTTCCTCACACATTAAGCTGACACGCCGTGATATAACTGAAATAAAGTTAAAAGTGGCGTTAAACCCAACTCACTCACTCACCTTTTACGGCAAGCATGGTTTGCTGAAGACCTATTCTACACCGAATCTTCACGAGTGTCAGTAGTAGAAGTAGGAGGAGGACAAAATGTCCCCCACCTGTATATACACCCTAGTACCAAATATGAAGACAGTCAAGCGATTAGTTCTTGAGATATCGCGGCAACACCGTTTTCCAACTTGAAAATGGGGTCAAGGTCACCAAAACCGACTGGTGTATGCGGTGTCTGTATATACACCGTAGTTCCAAATATGAAGACAATCAAGCGATTAGTTCTTGAGATATCGCGGTAACACCGTTTTCAAACTCCAAAAGCAGATTTGCCTGCTGTGACCTTGAAAATGGGGTCAAGGTCACCAAAACCGACTGGTGTATGCGGCGTCTGTATATACACCGTAGTTCCAAATATGAAGACAATCCAGCGATTAGTTCTTGAGATATCGCGGCAACACCGTTTTCAAACTCCAAAAGCAGATTTGCCTGCTGTGACCTTGAAAATGGGGTCAAGGTCACCAAAACCGATTGGTGTCTGCGGTGTCTGTATATACACCATAGTTCTAAATATGAAGACAATCCAGCTATTAGTTCTTGAGATATCGCGGCAACACCGTTTTCCAACTCCAAAAGCAGATTTGCATGCTGTGACCTTGAAAATGGGGTCAAGGTCACCAAAACCGATTGGTGTCTGCGGTGTCTGTGTATACACCATAGTTCCAAATATGAAGACAATCCAGCGATTAGTTCTTGAGATATCGCGGCAACACCGTTTTTAAACTCCAAAAGCAGATTTCCCTGCTGTTACCTTGAAAATGGGGTCAAGGTCACCAAAACCGACTGGTGTATGCGGCGTCTGTATATACACCGTAGTTCCAAATATGAAGACAATCCAGCGATTAGTTTTTGAGATATCGCGGCAACACCGTTTTCCAACTCCAAAAGCAGATTTGCCTGCTGTTACCTTGAAAATGGGGTCAAGGTCACCAAAACCGACTGGTGTCTGCGGAGTCTGTATATACACCATACATCCAAATATGAAGACAATCCAGCGATTAGTTCTTGAGATATCGCGGCAACACCGTTTTCCAACTCCAAAAGCAGATTTGCCTGCTGTGACCTGGAAAATCGGCTCAAGGTCACCAAAACCGACTGGTGTCTGCTGAGTCTGTATATACACCATTGTTTCAAATATGAAGACAATCCAGCGATTAGTTCTTGAGATATCGCGGCAACACCGTTTTCAAACTCCAAAATCAGATTTGCCTGCTGTGACCTTGAAAATAGGGTCAAGGTCACCAAAACCGACTGGAGTCTGTATATACACCATAGTTCCAAATATGAAGACAATCCAGTGTTTAGTTCTTGAGATATCGCGGCAACAAACAGGTGGGACGGACGGACGGACGGACGTACGGACGGTCGTGAAAACAATGTCCCCCGCTTCGCGCGGCGGGGGACAACAACCCATGCATGCCGTAAAAGACGTCTATGCTTGCGATCAGGTTTTCTGCGAGTCACCGTATCCGACGTATGTCATTGCTCTTACCATCAACCACTGAATTTGCAAGTCCAAACTTAATGCAGCGTGTCGTGCTGAACCTTGAATATTGCTGAGTTAACTTCATTAAGATCCGGCGTAGAACAGGTCTTCCGCAACCCAGCGATATTCCAAATAATATCATGAGCATCGATCCACGCAATTGGAATCGATGACATGCATCAACCAAGTCAGCGAGCCTGACCACCCGATCCCGTTTTAGTCGCCTTTTACGGCAAACATACCCCGGAATCTTCACAGGTCTAGTAAATATGAAAGTTATACTTATCCCATTACTTAACTAATGCTTAGGCCCGTGAAGACGCCGGGGTAGAATAGGTCTTCAGCAACCGATACTTGCCATAAAAGGCGACTATGCTTGTCGTAAAAGGCGACAAACGGGATCGGGTGGTCAGGCTCGCTGACTTGGTTGATCCATGTCATCGATCCCAATTGCGTGGATCGATGCTCATGATGTCAATCACTGCATTGTCTGGTCCAGACTCGATTACTTTACAGACCGCCGTTATATAGCTGGAATATTGCTGAGTGCGGCATTAAACAACAAACAAACAAACAAACTAATGCTTAACAAATAATTACTTGAATAAACTACAGGCCGTAAGGGCCTGCTGAAATTATAAACTATAGACCAAGAACAAATCTGTCAGCCTCGGGCCTACGGGCCGATGTCTATTTCGAACAATGCCATAAAGTACAGTCCCGTTTGGCTCCAAATGAGAATGAAGACTTGCAAAATAACTCAAAATTGGGAAGTCTATTAAATGTCAATACCACAGACAGAAATGGATACACTGTACCCATCAACATCTATATTGTTTGCGATTAACACGAGACGACCCCTCTTATGCTGTCATTACCTATACCGTTGTGTAGCACGTGCAGTACGTGTTTGTGCTGTTCCTCCTACTGTTGTGCCCCCCCACCCCCCCACCCCCCCGTCCAAGATGTCAACATGTACACAAAACAACAACATAGTTTCTTAAACATTTTTTTTCCAGTGATTGGAATAAAAATAAGTAATAGCTGATATTGTTGGATACAGGGTAGTCATTGCCGTGTATCATATTAACATTTAATAAAGTATTCCCGATTTTGAGTTTTTTTGCAATTCATTATTTTCATATTTAGAGCCAAACGGACTGCAGAAGAAGACCTAGTGTGTCATTAGGAACGAAACCTGCTCGTGACTGAGCCTCTATTCTCGATTGCTAAAAATGGAGATCCCTTCCTACCCATGCCATTGTTATTTGATGCTTAAACGTTTGAATAATTAAGGAAACATATTTAATTGGGTGTCTGACTTAAGATATATTTACTATTTTCCACTTGTGTGGACTTCACAAGACGTTGGCGAGTAAAAATTGTATTTGTATCAAT